CGCATCGAGATGCCACACTTTGCATTTCAGTCAACAGTTGCAAAGGCAATTGATATGTGTGGTAACAAAGGCGTGCTCGTAGTCGACAATATACTACCTCTCGCTTGGGCTGCCCGTTCAGCCGCCGCCCAAACAAGGCTTTGTATACGCCGTCACTAAAATGTTGACTTATCCTGGCGCCAGCAAAGCAAAGCTCCATTCCATTGGCTCTGCGCAACCTCATTTAAAACCCGCTTTACCGATACTTGTTAACACACTTTCCCCGTGCCCACATCACGTTTGCCAGCGCCGGCTTTGCATCTCCTCGACACTTTCATGAAGTTTCAATTTTAAGATGTTACCAAAATAAATAGACACCGAAATCACCTATCAATACGCATAAGTTGAGTGTAAGTCCTTTGATATTGTCCCAACTGTGTTAGATCCAAAATAGTTAAAAATGCTGCGTGCTTGCCATCTGTCGCCACCTATTAAAAATCCTTGTTTTCTGTTCTAGGAATGTGAGTATCACTGATGAAATTAAAAGAGTCCAATAAATAAGAAATAGCTTGGCGTCAGACACATAACGGTCCCGGTCCTTCCCGAGCCGCTAGAGGGGGAAGGGGGAGGGGAGTCCAACTGCCACTGACCGTAATAGACCGGGATCCCTTCCGAGATGGGGTCAAGGTCTATGGACGACGTTCAACTAGTAATCTTCCGCACACTGATCCACTTATCTATTTCATCGAGGAACCAGTTGCTACGCAGGAAGAAATATTGAGATGGGCCCAAGAGTTCAGTCCAACTTTTCCCAACGATTTAAGTCACCCGTCATGGTTAAATATCCCAGAACAACCAGCGTTATTCATAAATCTCCCCATGGTCAGCACTAAAAGGCCGTCTGACACTGGTATTTAGCAGGCCGTGGTTGCCGACTCTTGTTCGCTGTTGCACGCGCAGTGCTGAAGACCACGGCCCCTGGGGGACTGTATCGACTAGACGCAGTGGCGACACAAGGTCACACAGGCTCGCGTGGTCCTGGGATGGACTCGCGCAGACCGTGGCCACATCGTTCATGGATAGGGTGGCACTGCATCGTGGTCCTCGGATATCACCAGCTGCAACAATGTATGCTGTGAATTAATGACTTGTTTTAATATATGTTGTTTTAATGTTTATTTTAATACCCAGCTGGGTATTTTCTCCAACCAAGGTATGAGCTCATTTTGGTCAAGAGTGCACGACGATGATACACGTGACAGTGCATTATTCATTCATACTAACTGCTAATAATGTACCGACATAATAATACAAGGTATGTGGCTAACAAAAGTGCCGTTCTTTGTCCCAGTAAAAATTGGCGACAGCTCAGATTGTTCGCACGTTTGATGACTTATTAATGCGTTTTACCTAAGACCGTGCGCTGAAAACCTCATCATTGCTAGCTTGTGTACAAAGCCTTGTGATGAATCACACGCCTCTGATACCACAAAGACAAAAGCGAAAAATACGCAGGTTTACCGCATCGGTTTGGCATCGACCGGAACTCAGGCGGACGCATGAGGAGCAGATAAACACGAGCCAAGCAAAGCTGAGCTATGGGGTCTGAGAAGCGGCCCAGTCACGCCTCGCCGCGGCCGCATCGGAGCATCTAGGTGGGTTGGAAGCTAGCAACTTCAGATACCATCGCACGGCGGGGGGGGGGGGGGAGGAGGTCGAGTAGTATCCCTGACTACGGCCTTCAGATTGGTAGCTTTTTAAACGAGATATTTTATTCCTAGTTTTCTTAATAAGTCGGTCTGTGGCGCTGGCATAAACGGTTTAACCCAGACCGTAACTATTCATGCGCGCAATTACCACATCGTTTGCATCGGTGCAAAAGACTCCCGTCAAGCGGCTCTGAAAGTATTCGTGAGCCTGTACAAACACAGGTAGAGCACTTTCACAGAGGTATGGTCGTTACGAATTCTATCTCTCCCTCTAGGTTTGAACCAGCACTAACGCGGACCTGTCAGCAGTCGCTCCCAGCTGAGCTCGATCCGGGCTGACCACGTAGCAGGCCCACTGTATCACCGCCGAGTCGCACCGGGCGCGCGCAGGGCCGGCGTCCCGTTAGACTGGCCGACGGCCCCGGACGCCGCGCGAGGGCCGGCGTCACTGGCCGCCGCCGCCGCCGCCGCCGTCCCGGCCCAGCGCCACGCCTGGCGACTGCGACGCCGCGGCGTTCGTCGTGACCGCGACGCTAACCCGGCTCCCACCGACGGCCCTGTGATGATTTACTGTTAGCCACAGCGCTGACGCTGCGCGACCTACGGTGACTGCAACGCCTGTCATCGAGGTTTCTGTTGCTGAGGTTTGCACGCGTGTTCAAAACCATGCCACATGATTTTTATCACCAATTGACTCTTACTGAATGTTGAATATTTCCAGACAAATATGTCTTGGTCATTTAAATGCAAATTGCTAGCCATTTTGACCTACAGTCTGCATGCGCGGGGTCCTTAATATCTCCGTAGAACCTAAACCTAAATAAAAATTCTGGCAAAGCTTCTGAGCTCTGTCGATTCAGAAAGATTTCACTGGACCATTGTAAGATGAAGAGCGCCAACGATATATTCATGCAGCCGTTTAACAAATGCTCTCTTCAGTTGACTGACTCTAAAATTCAGATACTGATATTGCGGAAGCTTCTGGCTTCTGCTCCACCTAAAGAAGTTAAAAATGAAATATAACAAAGAAAAACATGCCCTCATTAACCAATGGGCCATATCCAGTGATTTTCTCTTTGAGGGGCCATTCAATATCAGGGGCCCTTTGCCAACCCTGCGCCCTCCCTCCCCTTGCCAAGGCTCTGGCTGCGTCCCTGCATACAGCCATTGGTCCATTCAACTTGGGCCATAACGCTAAGCCCTAAAAAGCTTCCGTAATGACAATACCACCACGTGGTGTCCGCCGCACACGGGTCCCGGTCAAGCCAAAACTGTGGTGCGTTATCACGCAAAATGATAGCAAATAAGAAAGGAGAATATGCATAAATTTTTACAGTGATAACGCAAACCGGCACACTCAAAGGTACTGATGGCCATCATATGCGCGTAACGATGAATAAAAATGATGCCAAAAAGCAACAAACAAACAGGGCTACATATAGCTAGGACGAGGGCTGAGAGCGCGGGGATGCATAAGGCCACTGGCACAGGGAATGCGGGGTCAATAGGGTTCGGGCATGCAGTGTGCTTGCAATAACTTGGGCGCTTTCGTACTGAACTCCAAAACAGTGTTTTCCTGCGCGAGTTTTAAAAACATCGTATAAACGTAGTCCACCTGACAAAACATTTAACTACTCACTTGGCTTATTTTGATATCAGTACTAATGACTTTGAGCTCTCGCTTGTTCGACCTTGTGAGTTATTGGTTCTTATGCAGAGTTATCAACCTTCATTACACCAGGAGATACTGGTCACACATCGTCATATCACAAACATTGTTGATGTCGACAGCGCGCAACGCTTCAAGCTCTGGGCTTTCTCCAGTCTGCACTCGACAGCACCGCCAGACGACTGGCCAACCAACGCCTCCCACCGAGCTCATTACGTCACAAGACGCCTTTCCGGCACGCGGCCGAACAGGCCGCCGACAACAGAGCCGGTCACGCCGGCTGGCGGACACCCAGCCAAGCGCGGCCTGCCGGCGGCGGCGGACGCAGTCACCGGCTGTCCCCATTACTGTTACGATCAGACGCCGGCCAGCCGTCGGGACGGCCGTCTGGCGGACAGCCACGGCCGACGGGGCGGCTCAGGCGCCTCGGCGAGGGGCGGGCTCGGCCCTGGGGCGTCAGATCTCGGGAACTGATGGAGGGAGCTTAGAGAGATCTCGGCCGGTGGAGGGAGCTTTCGACGGGTTGTCCAGGTCAGGAGTTACAGGGTGGGTCCAGATAGCTCCACGTTCGGTTTGAATGGGAATCGAGTTGCTGGACTGTTTTCGGATCGGTTCAAGGTGGAAGCAAGCACTTTGACCAAGTCCGGCGTCCAAGCGTCATAGGAATACTGGCGATGGTGTACGGTAGCCGGATGTCATTCCCGTGACACATGGAAATAACGTCACAGGCGGACACATACAGGCTCGGTTTGTTTAATTGCTGTCCACCTGGAGTAAAACGGCAACGTTTTGATGCTCGCGCCGTTCAAATAACCTCCGTGATGACTGCTTCAAATGCCTCGGCAAGCGTTGTGTAGCGCGTGAAGCGCAAACCTTAGGTATTCCACTTCAGGAGTGCCACTTCAGGAGCGTCACTTTACACGCTTCTGGCTTTTGGGTGCCCAGGTCCCCGATAATTTGACATTTCAACTTTAGGCCTGTGACGGCACTTGAAAGGAGTGGTCTCCGAGCGTCCAAATTTGCCGTTGGAACCAGCCCCCTCCCCCCGAAAGTTTTTGGGCGGTATCACATTTGTGCCAGGACTATTTTCAGTGTGGGTCTTTACTTTACCGGATGGGTCATCCGGGCTGCATTATTGCACCGGTCATTGCTACATTTTAACATGCTTACCTGGATCTTGACCGGAAGAGACGTGGCAACAAACGTTTTATTAGGTAGATGAAGTTATTTCTTAACACAAACGTCACTTTCTGGGAACTAGAGCGTTGTGTGTACTGGGCCACCGTTAAAAATTTCACAGCTTCTACGCCATGGTAGCAGTATGGCTGAACACTCGAAATTTGTTGGATAGTCCAATGATATTGAAATTCACCTCAGTGTTACGGACCACCGGCACACCCACGCGCCCGTCTTCGTCGGCGACAGATGGCTGGGTCCTGACGACAAGTATGCAATAGCAGATATGATAAAATGTGCACACAGTCACACCTGTAGATATGCATCATGCAGGTTCTATCAATAGGTACTGGCTTCCTGTAGCAGCGGTGCACGGCTGCTGCACACATACCTGTGACGTCCCTATCCCTGCGGCGAGCCAGGGGAGGGAGCGGGGGGGGGGGGGGGGGGGCAGGCGGGGTACTCACCGGCTGCGAGGGCGGCAGTCTGGGCCTGCTGCCGTCGCTTGGCCGACGCCAGCTGGGCCGACAGGTCGTTGGTGTGCAGGAACAGGAAGACCGTGGCCGTGAGCAGCATCAGCGCCAGCAGCTCCGACAGCCTGCCGGAGGCCGGGAGGACGTCATCGTCACCGACTGGCGGGACCAGCGGTGCTGAAACGTCCCGGGCTTATGGATAAAGTGGACGGCGAAAATGCGCATTGCCACACGACGCTAAGTTCCAAAAATAGTTTTGCCGTGCTGACGCTGCCAATTGCGGAGACGGTCACGACGAAACATCGCAACGCACACTGCATAACCAAACGTGACGCCTACCTGGTGACACATTCCGTTACGCAACATTAGCAGATTTTTTTCTTATAAGCCCTTTACCGTATCCCACGGCACAATCACATCTTTTTATGTTTCATCCCATCCCAGCGACAAAAATATGCCAAGATTTGTTGCTAGCCGCTTGATTCGGTGTAGGTCGGCGACAAATCAGTGCATTTCCAATGTCTCACCCAGCCGGCCAATTCACTATTTTTAAGGACCGACTCTAGGTGTACCATACTAGACAGTGTGGAAATACTGAAAAAGATAACACCTGGCTGCAAGGGCACAAACAAATCGATACGATACGACTCATATGAGTCAGGCGGTGACTTTCAAAGCCCTGCGACTCTGCAAGTGGCATTCAGATAACAGTTGCATGAAGAAATAGGCTAAATTGTTTGGCATCGTTGACATCATTAGCGATCCGCGATTGAATGTATTGTCCTCAACGACGAGAGGCACGGCTACTTGTAGGGGGGTCGACGAGGTGATCTGATCGAGGTAGACAACGACCTGTCGTTATCCAGGCTGCTTCTTCAACACACAGAAAAGGCTGTGGATGCACCGGGGTGGTCGCAAGAAACTAACGTTCCTCCCTCAGAGAAAAAAAAAACATGGGTTCAGTCACGGGAACAAACCACTCCTGGTGAAAATAAATGACTGGACGGTCAGGACAGAAAATCAGACAGTTCCAGGTACGTGCCGTGCCGTGCCTCGTGCCTCCGTGTATCCGTGCCTCCGTGCCTCCGTGCCTCGTGCCTCCGTGCCTCCGTACCTCCGGGTCCGGTTTTCGCTCGCCGGATTTTTTATCAACATCATTTCTTTTTTCATCGGAGGCGTTATTTATCAGTTAGTTCGGTGTTTAAGCAGCGCACCAGTTATGATCACGCTTAATGCCCAAAGAAATAGCATTTAAATGTTGCTTAAATGCGTCCCATCTTGTCTTGTAATATTGCATCAAAACGCATTGAGGACCCAAATCTACGTTGCAGGGCAGGGCAATTTACCAAAGAATGCAAATCGACATCGATGATTACGAATACATTTGCTGCAACATTGCAATATCACAGACACATTCAACCCACCGTGTTAGAAAACAAAGGTGCGTAAAACTACCACAGTGAGAGTGCTGCCCAACACGGGTGCAAGCCGGGCCCAAATCGCGAGAACCTTTTTAATTTAGACACAAGAAAACAAAATCAAACCGATCAAAATTCAGCACCATTGCCATCATTGTTTACGCAAACCGTTGTCCAAGACACCTTGTTTGTCAGTGACCACATGAATCTACCTCGATAACCTTCGCTTGCTGAAAGGCATCTGAAGCCCAAAAACCCCCATACACTTGTGCAAGTGTGTGTAAGTGTGTAATACACTTGTGTACGCAAGCATATGCAGGTGTGTAATATACTTGTGCTTGTGCTAGTGCAACGACTTGAGGCAAACAACAGTACTGATCCCCCCCCCCCCCATGCATAACCTATTAAAAGGAGCGCGATGACGTGGGCCATCCGAAGACAAGATATCGCATGATGTGCCACATGCTCCAGTTCGGATCAAAACTTTGTTGCGAGGAAGGAGTTCTGCGAATCGTTTCGGGTAATTGTGCCCTCCCTTCTAAAGTAGTGCCGTCACGCACACATCTAGTTACGAATATCATCCACCCTGCTTGCAAAAATATCGCCGAGCGTTTGTTTGGCTGCCGTTTACCTTGGACGACCGATGGCAAGAGCCTCCCAGGTTTTTGTCGTCGACTATGGGTTTTCAGCCTGCGAGTGACGGCACATACTACGGACGTTAGGGTCGTCAGCCTGCGAGTGACGGCACTTACTACGGACAATAGGACCCTCAGCCTGCGAGCGACGGCACGTGCTACGGACGGTAGGGTCGTCAGCCTGCGAGTGACGGCACGTACTACAGACGATAGGACCCTCAGCCTGCGAGTGACGGCACGTACTACGGACAATAGGGTCGTCAGCCCGCGAGTCGCGGCACGTACTACGGACGATAGCGTGCGCACTCGCACTCGGCGCCCCAGGCGATCAAGCAGTGGCAAAGAACATCGTATCGCGGGCGGTGAATAGCAAACACATTCGGCATTCTGGGCGGAGGAAAGCGAGCACACCGCCGCATGCACACCAGTTCCGGTAGGATACTCGGGAATAATGAGCGGGTCGATGCACAATGAGTCCCACCGACGACGCTCTATTCACGCCTCAGTGCCGTGTTTTTGCCCGGGTCGTGACGCCGTCGGCCAGAGGCCCTTGGTGGCTTGCCGCCCTACCTCATTTCTCATCTCCCTTCCTCTCCCTCTCCCTCCCTCTCTCTATCTTCTCTCTCTCACTCTCTTGCTCTCTCCCTCCTCTCTCTCTCTCTCTCTCTCTCTCTCTCTCTCTCCCTCTCTCTCTCTTCTCTCTCTCTCTCTCTCTCTCTCTCTCCTCTCTCTCTCTCTCTCTCTCCTCTCCGTCGCCGCCGACGATGTGTCACAAGCACGCCGGGTCGCGCTATCGATTCTCAGCACGAGCGGCTGGACAGTGACGGCCAGGGATATCGCCGCTGGCCCTCGCTGGCAGCCGCCGCCGGCGGGGTCACCGACCCCGCAGGGATACGCGCGGCATGCGAGCGCGCCGGAGGACAGCTGGTGGGGCAGGCAGGGTGCTGTGGCCGACGCCGAAGTGATCTCCTTTGGTGCGGTGGCGGTCCATGCAAATGGCGGAGGCAGATCCGGCACAATAGAGGGTACAAGACTGCAACTCTCTCTGTCATAGACTCATAATGAGATGGCACGCAGCGACTGTAGTACGGCACTACGTGCCGACACACAAGTTCTGCAATCCATTCACAATTCTTTCCACGAGATCACAGCGTGATTCGGGAGCGATCGCTTCAGCTGCAAGCTCCGCTGAAAGCGCGATGTTATCTGTGATGTAAGGGGGGCCGGTGAACACAGCAGCTATCATACCATCAGAGGCACAAATCATCACTGCATAATGGTTATGCATAGCAACAGCCAAACTGACATATGTTTGAGGCGTTGGTACAGAGAGACCTTCGTCCATGAGAGTGTTACTTTTATCATGTGAATTCTCCCCTGTGTTCCCGGAAGTCAATGCCATAGCAAACAACGGTACAACACATCTTGGGCTCCCGTGCTTAACGTTGGAATTCTGTAAAACAATGATTATGTCAAGCCGCGTGACATTCTCAGGCAGCTTCCGAGAACATTGTTTTCCTCGATTCCGAGAAGACTCTACTGCGTCGTAAGCTCGCTTCAGCTGATTGCTCAGACGGAACACGCCAGCAGGTATTACCGCGCCAGACGAATCTTTATGATGCTGTTATCAGGAGTCTGAAGCAGGGCAAGGTTCAAGGAGACCTAATTTATAAAGCTCACGTTGGCCGTAGAAAAAAATTCAAGCTCCGCATATTTACCGGGTTCAAGGGAAAACCGAATCAAGCAGGACCCGCAGCCGCCAGAAAGATCCCTGTCCAAGTTTCAGGCTTGTCAGGACACATTCCAGACACATCAGTGGGTACAAACGTGTTTTTTTATGCGGCCTGACTGGCTGATCATTCATTCAAGAGAGGGTTTGAAGCCGGGTAGGAGCTGGGCTACTATTTCTGAGACGGATGGGTATTTTCAATTGTCGAGTCCTGACACCAATCCTGCAGAGTATTTCTTTCACGCGGTCGCGGTCGGTAGCATACCAAATGGAACTGACTTAGTTGTCCTCGCATGCTCGAGGTCAAATGTGCCTTCTGTAAACGGCGGTATTCCCAGGGCGTGGCGCGCGCGTGGAAAATTTAAACAGGTTCGGTAGCTTAATAGCTTGAGAGTGACAAACGTGACTTTTTCGCATCATCAGTTGGAATAACAACAGCCGCGCGACCGTTGCGTCTCTGAAGTCTCTACGTCTCTTTCGTCTGAGGACGAAAAGGGGTGCCGAAGCGTTAATATTCGGAAATAATTAACAGAGGTAAAAATAAAAATTGACTTGCGGCGAACAACGCCCTAGAATCTCTTGGAGTAACGACGGTTCATCACACTACTACACGACTGGTCAACCGAAAGACGACGGCGCCATCGGTGATGGGGCGTCCACGAAGAAGCTCCCTGAACCATCGCTCCTCCGACAACATTTTCGCTATAAACAATCAAATCCGTCACACATGCGACGCATGCGAACACGGTCCACTAATGAGCAAATGTGAGTCCGTTCACGGAACAACACAACACGCAACACAACACAGCCCAACAAGCAGCGCAGCCCAACAAGCAGCACAGCGCCCGACACGCGCACACCCGTCAACAGCACGCGTGCACGCGTGTTGTGCGTTCCCACGTTTCACCAGCGCTATGGAGTGCGTGTCACCATTAGTTGTGATTAATTCAGAGCTCGGGGGTGTGCGGACGTTGCGCTGCGCATAATTGCGGCAGGCGTACTCGCGAGATCGATGAGATTGGAGAGTTGTGAACTACACAGTGACCAGGCGGGGGAAGGGGGAAGGGGGAGCTATGAAGACAGCGCCGGTGGCTTGTCCGGGGCTCGTTTCAAGCTTCCAGGCGGTCACCCCGAGCGATCGTGTTGCTCACGCTTTGACGCACGATTGTTCACGCTAATACGCACACCAAAGACAACCAGTCGAATAGAATGTACCAGCGATGAGTATAAACTTTATGGCAATGCTAAAACGTACAAGCCCGACAATCCATTGAGTATATATCACATATCACAAAACATATAATTATCTACCATACCTTACGATATTATAAACCCCCACAAACATATGGTCTTGCAAACAGAATATGCCACAACCGACATCGTATGCTTTGAACTGATTACATTAAATGAAACAACACAGAGCAGCCATGCTACCCTGAACCTAAATCAACCAACAACACAGCTGTTCTTGTCCCTGCATACCGATGTCAAGCAGCGCATGTGCTGAAATTGGAATTATATGTTTGGGATACCTTGAAAACTTGGACAAGTCCCAAGGTGATGAAATACGCCTGCCAGCATTCCAAACCAATATTTCGGGGACTTAGCATATCTAACCTCTAAGCCTTACCCGGCCACATAGCTATTTACCATTTTTACCATCCTCGATCCTCCCCGCCGGGCGGATACTCTGCAAACGCCCATGTTACGTTGATTGCATGTAGTAGTCTGAATGTTATGTCTATGATGTACCTGTAATGTGATGCACCTGATATTTGGATAGCTCACCTGATGCTGTATAAAGCAGACCACTCAAACATCCTGGACGTTATGGTAAGTCGCCCTGTGAGTTTCGCACTCTCAGAGAGGAATCGAACCACCCCTAATTCTGTCACAATGTGGAGCTATGATTGTGAATCCTAATTCAGCCGAGTAACCAATAGAACCCAAGCCGAATGTGATCCTGGCTAATACGGAATCTATTCGGCAGGTGATCATTTCCGCTGGGGTCACACACAAGTCTGTTTCCTGTACAGTCTACTTCCTGATGATATGTTCCACAAGCCCACCTAGCACCTAGGAAACGTATTGACTAATTTCGTTACTCAGTCATATTGTCAGTTAACGTCGTTTCTTTAAATGTCACGAGCTCGGAAAGAAGACAATGTTCATGGGTTCGCAGGGCCGTGAAGGCATTAGGCTCACATCAGTATTTAGGGGAAAATCCACGGCTTGGTGCGCAACATTTGCCCCACGGCATTTCTTTTCGGAGATGCTCCAGCGATCGCTCACGATATCGGCCACCTGACGGCATTCTTGTTTCCACGCTGCCCTTCGCGGACGCAAGCTTGAGCGTCGATGACCTAGGCGAGGCACATTATACGGATGCTAGACCCGAACCGCTGTATCTACAGAGGCCGCAGACCTGTTCTGTACATTAAAGTAATCTGGTAATTGGACACGGCACTGGAGTGAAAAGATAACAAAAATTACAGACGCGTTGGAACCTGTCACCCACAAGAAAAAAACAGCTTAAAGTGTCATTAGCTTAAAGTGTCATTTCACTGACTTTCATGACGTTTATCGTTATTGAGCACTGTTCGAGCAGAATGTGTTGAGTCCAGAATGTTGAATCACCCAGGGGCATGCAATTCGAACGACATTTCAAGCACTTGCTTCTCATTCAGTTAACTTGCATTACAATAAGTCCCTAAGTTTTCCTATAGACATACGCAAATTCGTTGACGCCCGACGCTTTCGCAAGAGAGGCGAGTGCGGCTCGAAGAAGTTTGGAGCCTGATCGGGACACGTTCCACCCAGCAACTTCGGAACAGCCTGCTATCCCGAACTTGGAAGATGACGCTCGTCCCCACCACAGCACCCTGGAGAGCTCCCCGCAGTAACAAAGAGGCCCTCGGTCTGAGCACAGCCGACGGAGCAAACTTCGTAACAGGCTACAAACATGCACCAGAGCAGTCGACCCGTCGTTCCTTAACTTGCGCCCACCCGCCTGGCTCCAACAATGGAAAGAGTCGCGCATACTTACCTCCAGGGCACGCGCTGCCTCCACCGGCGCCATACGTGCATGACCTCCTTCACCATCGTCGCCGGCTGCTGCCTCCGCCTCGCCCGTACAGGTCACGGGCTGTTACGGGCTGCTGGGGGACCACCAGCCGGCGCAGGGATTTCAGACGCGCTTGTCGAGCTTGTCACGTGCACGCACAGCCAATCACATGGCCCGGGGACGACGCACGACTCGAGCACCGCCCCGCCCGCGCGCAGAAGACCGAGTGCTGCTAACAGTCGGTCGCCGCGAACCGCTAGGTCGCCGGCGTAGAGCGCATGCGCGCCGCCGCCGTCCGCTCCGTTACAGAAACAGCGGCGAAGCCCGGCCCAATTCGCCCGATGAACGTGAGGGACACTGGGCGGCGCATACTGCCGGCTGCGATGGGTTTTATGGACGGCGAGAGGCTGGAGAGGGCGGTCACTTTCGCCAGGGCGCTGTGGACATTAGTGGATGTGGAGGAGAGTAACGGGGATGTTTTGCACGGATGCCGCAAGATGGTCGTGGATATGGGCTGCTGTCCTCACCGGTCACCCAGTTACTTGGAGTCTCCGGAAACAAGACGAGGATGCTTGAGCACGCCATCAGCACACGCAACAGTGGAGACGTCGGCAGCCAACCCATGCTGAGTGGAGGGGAGAATATGTAATTGATTGGGTATACGGATGACATTCTGTGTGAGTGAAGAGCACCCTTGTCTTTAATGCAACAGCGGGGTGAAAGCTTACTTAGCGAGCGGACATCCTCTATTCCTTTGACGCGCGTTGCCCCTTCTATAGCATGGTGTGGTCTATGCTAGCAACAGATAACTGTCGCACAAAATACCCAGGCTGTAGAGCATTTACTGTTCATGTTTCATTCGCGTGCTTTTAAAAGCAGCTCCACGGTTGAACAGAGGATAGAGACACCACTCTTTTTCCGGGTCGCATTACGTGTGCTAGCTGAGGGCAAGCTTGCATGACATTGGTAGTTGGCCTGAGGCGCTCGGATCTTACACGTTCTACAGGGTGTTTCAGTGGTCTATTCTTGCCTTCCGCCTCTGCATCTGGTCCTGTAGCTTCAACATTAGTTACGCTCAAGTGACGTCAGTAGCAAAAAATGGCGTGCATTTTTTTTCTTCAATTTTTCGCATGGGCGAGTGCGAAACTGTAATCAATTGGTTCATTAAGGCTTTATCAGACCACAAATCCCTTACATAGCGGACCAGTAGAAATGGGTGTTACTAAAAATGCCCCTCTCAATGACAGGTTTTTTTCCGCGAGGCCCATGGGCATGGCTCTCGGTGGCGTCAGCCGGGGACCTTTCGCCAAAGCTCTGGGACTCTCACGCCTGCAGTGGATTCATAACGGAGAAGATGTGAAAATAGGAATCTTTCAATGAGAAGAGGCTGTTCAGGTCGGCCCTCGCAGGTTATTCGGGAAGTGAAGGTTGCAGGCATATGCCTAAGCTGTGCTGAAGACAGGCCGGGGCGTGCGAAACTTATCAGTCAGATTGACACACTGGGGCTACGAAATGTCCAACCCGACCGTTTTCTGTTACATGAAGGCTCACTAGCCCTCACGGCATACTAAAGGGTCAAACACCGAAATTGAGTGGAAATCAGTGGAAGGAAATGGTGGAGCTGTGCACAAAATAATCATCCAAGAATTGGCACTAAGGTCAGCTTCAAGACGTCATTTCGAGTGACGATCTTGTTTTCGACCTCGAGCAGCCCTCAAGCCCCCGTAAAAAACTACCGCGTTTGGGCGAAAAACGGGCCGGAAGTACCCCATTATCACTTGAGAAAAGATCTCAGAAGGTGATGACCGGAGGGCGATGAGTGCCCAGGGACTTACAGAACTGCATGTGACGTCGCAGAACACGCGCAAAACAGACTATCATGTCAAGGAGATTATCAATGAGTCTTTTTTAAACGGACTGTTTCATATGTTTGTTTTGAAATGACATAGCCATCTGGAAGACCATTTGGTGCAATATACAGCCTTCCCTTTCTTAAGACCTAAACCTCTCTAGTTTACAAGCTACATGCCTGCAAAGATGTCCAGATTTCTTCCCGTAGACTATTTTAAGTCACCCAGGCATCGACGACGCTATAATGTCGTCATTGAAATGTTGTCATTCCGTTGGTCACGCGGCGGTCAAGGCCAAAATAAATATAATTTCGAGCCATTCACCTGTGGCGTTCGTGAGCACGATTTCCAGATACAACGGCCATCAACTGGCTCTCTATCAATCCTGTGGTTGTAAGGATGACGCAATTAGACACTGACGTATTGAGGAGCATACATACTAAACAGAGAAATTGTGTGGTCCATAGCAGCCTTGTCCACTTAAAAGAATACCAATTTTCATAAGGGAGCTTTTTCAACCCATATCTGGCGCTTGCCTCAATGTCTCCAAACGTGGAGAAGTCTCCTGAAACGACCGATGAGCACGGACCCCGCAAATAACTGGCGAATGGTTAACAACATCCCGACCTCTATCTTCATGCGAGACGACGCACACGCTCACGCGGCACAAAGGCCCAAGACGGCGCTGTCGCTCACACGGTACAGAGAGCCGAAGACAGCTCACCCGCTGACACTGCACAGAGAGCCCAAGACAGCGCGCGCGCCCACGTGGTACAGGGAGCCCAAGACAGCGGGCCCGCTCACATGGTACAGGGAGCCAACGAGGGGTACCAAACGACCCCTTCGTGGTCCCGAGACAAGGAAGAAGACGTGACCGGGGAATTTCCTTGACTTGAACCGCACCGAAGATTTGTGGGACTGAAGACGCGTCACAGCGAGATGGATTCTTGCAAGAGCGTCTCGGAACTGGGGACAGTGCTGAGAGGGGAGTGGGAGAGCGTCTCAACCTCTGTAAGTTAGCGAATGACAAGCCAAACAGATTGGCATACTTACAGAACTACATGTGGTGCCATAAAAACCAACTCTCAACATAGACGTCTGTGTCAAGTAGATTCTTGGTGGGCCACACTTAACCTAGTCAACTGTCGGCGAACACGCACTTGGGCTCTAAACTTACGTGGGGAGTATGACGGTATGCACTTAAAAACAAAAACAAAACACCACATGAACGGTGTGAACCACAAGTGTTTTACTGATGGCGAAATTTGGGAAAGAACTTATGAAACACCCTGTGAGCGTGTCATTCACTGCAAAGCCGCGTCGGTTTGGTTTACAGGACATGGCTGGCCATACAAATGCGTATTATAATGAAATGCCCACGACTTGTTTCCACTACGGTAATGCGCAAAGGAACGATTACCATATAAGGATGTTTTCTTGGATATATAAGTACACACTGCATATCTTTTTGTCAATCTGTGAGCTATTTAAGACCATTTTTATCCTCCGACTCTCTTTTTCTGTGTAACTTTGAACGCATTGGGTTACCGACTTAAATCATTTAAGGGAGCATTGCACATGAAAATATATTTACGTAGGCGTCATTCATCATGAAAAATCCCACATCTCACTATTGGTGTGCTTTCAAGTGCAAAAGGACAGCTATCAGCAGCACAATTTCGCTATTCACCTACTATGTACCTTCATACGTCGCTGTTGATGACGTCATGAAAAGTTTTTATGATGTCCGAGTACTTGCCAGACTGGCCGCGTCAGAGCTACCACTGTAGCGAACGGCGTGACTTACTTGTGGTACTTCTAGGCGCCGCAAGATGGTGGTAGTAGTCTGGGCGTGCAAATGTGTATTACGGCGTGTGTGTGTTTTGACCTTTTTTCGTGGTGTTCTTGTAAATTTTCCACGATTGCATGTTTTCATTTTAACTCGCATTCTTGGTCACTTTTATTAAATGGAGTATCCAACCTGCTGGTACTTTTCACTTATTGCTAGATTGGATGCGTCTGATTTAATCACTAATGCTACTTTTCTTAATATCCTTCTAAATAGCTCAGAATTTTGATTTTAAGTAGCTACTACTGCGGGAAAAATCTCATTGGATTCCCTACTCACTACTATGAAAGTAACACATTCCATTTGCATCGCCTTTTTCAACGGGCGTATTCTGAAGGCAATAAATGTGGCCAGCTAGTAAACCTATAAGGGGATGTCGCCGAATGGACTTTTGGAGTCCCAGTAGCATCGTACTAGCTTTGTAGCAATGTAATCCTACCGATGCCAGATACATTCATTATGTTAAAAGTTGGAAATATGAGCCCCTGCATGAAAACCTGTGCGAAGAATATATATCTGTCGTGCGAAAAGGTTGTTAGGATAAGGAGACTGTCACCCTTTATTCAACGATAGAGCGAGACACGTCCCCTCCGTCCCCCTTGCTAGCACCACCCCTGTAGTTTGGCTTTGGGAGACGGAAGGTCACGTGGTCTATGATGATACACTGGTTTAAATTTCGACCCATGCGTTTCTCGGTCGCTGGCTCTTGCCACCCGCTGTGCCAATCACAAATGTTCGTTTGCACCGACGTAATCCACGCTGAAAGTGATGCCACCTTTAACACGCGCCCAGGCGGCCGGTTGGATTCCCTTCGCTCGGTTCGAGGATCAATTTGACCCCACCGAGATCTCGGGAACTGGGAGAGCTAGAGACACCAAATTTACCGGGTTTGTTAACCTGCACCCGAACTCACTCAAGCCACAATTTGGGGTTCCTAGGTCATGACCTTCTGGTAAAATAAGGTCAATCAAGGTCAACCTCTAGGCTAGTCTCCAAAGTGCCCCAAAACCTAGATACCCGTTCTAAGCAAAAGGTGACATGATCATTTAAGGCCAGTGACCTTGTTTTGCCTTTCAAAGGTCATGGCGACCAAAATCATACGAGACTGTTTTAAGTGTTGCATTTGAATAAACAACAAATATTACGCCAGGCAGTATGTCCCCCAAAACAAAATGTTGACCCGGGTCAATTTAGGTCAGTGACCTATCCTGACCTTTGAGGAGCGCATGGAAGATGCATAATGCGGTTCCTGTTATCGATAAATTCGAAATGAGCACCAGAAACCATCTCATGCACAAGCCCAAGGGTGATAGAACAGATTGACTTTGACCTTAGCCTAACTTTCAAAACTGACCTTAGGTCAATAAAGTTTCTTCATTTAACTGTTGTGTTGCCAAAGAAAGTGTCTCCGAGATGTATAGTCTCGTCTAACACTCCGTTGTTGCATCAGATTGAACGATTTCTCAGAAATTGACTTCGCAGAATCCATGGCCTGATTTTGACCTGCCGTAGGTCAGCAACCTAAAAAGGTACATCTAAATTTGTGACAACAGACCATCCGTTATTCAATTGCCAATAATGATGCAGAATTTGGCGCAGCCGCGCCGCGCCGTTAAGAAACCATTCTGGAAAAACCTTCAGATTGGGGTCAATTTGACCCCCTCACCTCGGCGCGTGTTAACGAGTGTCCCACCTTTGGGCCATATTTCCGAAACATACTCTAGTGCAACCTCAGGACCAGTAAGTCTAATAATAGCACTGGGTAGTGCCAATGTAGGGCCCTCAGGACATGATTACGATATAAATTCTTATTATCATTTTCGACTCGAAAATAACAAAGTACCAAAGAACCACAAGGTGGGATGCTCCATTTAAATTGCTGGACATAGCAACGGTCACGGTTACACAATACAACACAACCTCTATGCGCATAAACAGAACAGACTGAAAAGCAAAAAAGTCGCGCGACAAAACATCCTTTTGATTCCGCATGAAAATAGGCTGCTTTATAATTTGCAAAGGATATACAAACCCTACGATATTCAATAGCGCCTTTTTTAGTGAACAAAAAGTGATTCTAAATGTCTAAGATCGAGAGAAATGATGCAACGTCCTTACGCGGAAAAATTTTCGATGTTTAAGTGAGTGCCACACGCAAATGAATGGTCTCCGATGGGCGAAGGGTTAGATTACACAGAATGCTACCTGTGTGGTCAGACCTTGCCAAACGTTACTGCACTCTGCAATGCAAATTACGTAAATTACAAAAATGACTGAACCGTTGAGAACCACATAAATGATACTGTCGATCTGTTATACATGCATATATATATATATATATATATATATATATATATATATATATATATATATACTCAACATGACGTCCAAAAATAACATTTTGAAGAGCACCACCTGCAGTTTATCAACTCTGCTATCCATACAAAGATCGTAGGCTTCGTGAGATCAACTACATTGACATCATAACCGCTTCTCTTTCCAGGTGACCTACTATATTTCTCCGAAACGGGGCTGCAAAATAACGCATTACCTAGTGCCACCAAACAACGCTGACACGCGAGCAACTCACCGAAAGCGCAAAAAGCACGACTGATGACATTAGAAGTCTTGTTCATTCCCCAGCATGCCCCAGCATTCAACAAGCAACTTAATTCTTGCGTTCCGCTGGACCTTTGGTATAGCTAGTGGTTTCTGATTTGTGGGGCATGATTAGATTTATGTGAAATGCGTGTAAGTGTTGTACTAAAGGGGTTTGTACATGCATTGAAACTTGTTAAACAGAGCTTGTTCAAATCTCTCTCGCTATCTCTCTGTCTCTCTGTCTCTCTGTCCCTCTCTCTCTCTCTCTCTCTCTCTCTCTCTCTCTCTCTCTCTCTCTCTCTCTCTCTCTTTCCCTCTCTCTCCCTCTCTCTCTCTCTCTTCCTCTCTCTCTCTCTCTCTCTCTCTTTCTCTCTCTCCTCTCCTCTCTCTCTCTCTCTCTCTCTCTCTCTCTCTCTCTTTGTTTGCTTGTTCAAGTCGTTCAACCACTGTTTTCTGGTACATTGAAGTTCTATTGCTTATGGTATCAAAACTCGTGAAGCTCTCTTCTCCATGTCCGTGAAGTTAGCGATTTATTCAGCGATTTTTTTCAGCGACGAGTTCCGATTTACCTGAAAAATGATTTCAAGGTCAATAATGGCATGAGAACACAAAAAATGACCCTCATTTTGCAATATCATGTGACCTTCAAGGTCAAAAGCTGGGTCAAAGGACGAGGAACTCGATATCACCCAAAAATTACCGGCCGACTATCAACTAACCAACTTGCAAATGTCAAAATATTCAACACACAAAGAACTAGCGTCCGTAAAAAATCCTGACCTCTCAAGGCTTTTTTCAAGACAAGACTTCTTGATGGACGCTAGTTCTTTCTGTGGTGTATATTTGAATGTTTGTAAGTTAAAAATAGGCCGGTCATTTTTGGGTGATATGGAGTTCCTTGTCCTTCGAGCCCGCGTTTGACCTTGAAGGGTGACCTTGAGAGGTCAGGACTTTATGACAGACGCTAGCTCTTTCTGTGGTGAATGCTTTGATGTTTACAAGCTTAAAATAGGCCGGTATTTTCTGAGTGCTATGGAGTTCCCCGTCCTTACAGCTCGCGCTTGACCTTGAAGAGTAACCTTAGAAGGTCAGGACTTTTTGACGGACCTAGTTCTTCCTGTGTTGAATATTCCGACATTTGCAAGTTGAAAATCGGCCGGTAATTTTTGATTTCCCCGTCGTTTGACCCAGCTTTTGACCTTGAAGGTCACATGCTATTGCAAAATAAGGGTCATTTTTGGTGTTCTCATGCCACAATTCGACCTTGGTATCATATTTCAGGGAAATCGGAACTCGTCGCTGAAAAAAATCGCTGAATAAATTGCTAGCTTCACGTACATCTCTTCTCCGCGTGGATGGCGACATATTGAAGGCCGTCCGGCACCGGGTATGGCGACAGGGTGAAGGCCATCAACTCGAAACAAACGCGAAACACCTCCAATCAACCACCATTAGCTGGAGACGAACGAGGGTCGTTTGCTATATCGAATCACGTGATTTGCAGCATTGCGGCACTGGACGCTGTTTCAGTGACTGTCAGCTGTCCAATGACACGGTGCTAGACTCCCGGAATCTGGTGCCCATGTGACAGTCTACAACAATCGGTGAGAGCCACTCAGTACAGGAAAGCGCGAAATGGTTTATTCTTTCGAAACCACAGCATTCTTTCGCGAAGGCACGTTCTGAGGTGAGAAATCTTGTCTTTTTTTTTTACTCGCAATTGACTGATTTCTTTACGTGACGAGAGATAATCGCTCTCGCGAGAGGGTGGGCCAATCACCACAGAGCAGCGCAGGCCACACCGAGAATTTAACGCCCTCCGTGCCCGCCGCCCTCCCACGTTACGAAAGGCTGTTAAGAGAGAGAGAGAGAGAACAGCGCACGATCTGCACTGAGCGGGCGTCGACATTTCCAACGCGAATTTGTTTTGCTTGCAACATGGAGGGAGGTTTTGATTGGTCATGCCCAGTTATGTCAGTTAGGCAGCTCACCTCTCGGCTTCACTTACATTGCTCTTTGCGCAAGACACGAGGCAGGGCACGCGACGCAATACTGATGTCCACGAGAACATTCTTATTTAGTTTACGAACAGAGAGCAGGCATCTCTTTTCGGTTAACGCGTTTTTCTGTCTTCTTTTTTTGACAGCCACTCACTTTCGACGCAGCATTCCTGCGATGTTCGGGTTTTGACACACGCTTCCGGCTACGTAGGCTTGGGACGTGGGTGGACAAGAACAGGGGCATGTCTCTCTGATTTTAGTGAGTTACATCAATCTTATGATTATGCTGAGTCGGCGTCGGGACGGGGCCCGACCCTCTCTCACTAAGACTGTCACAACCCTGTCCGGGTCAACCAGGTCAACCCACCGAGCTGCCATCAATTGGTCACAGATGTGATATCGGCTCCGAAGCAAATGATATCATTTCTGCGGGCACACAAACCGATGCCCATAAATCGTGCATCCGCTACTCAACGCACTCCTGTCCCCGTGCCGCCTCCACCAGTCACGGCCGTTCCTTGTTCTTCAACCACCCCTTGTCCTGTCTGGCCACCATCTTGCTCTAGCGTCAGCGCAGTCCCTCCGCGCCCACATTCTGGACTGCCCACCCCCGGCCGGTGCAGCTGGTCGGAGCAGCGGCCCGCGTGCGACAGTCGTGCCCCACCACTTCGCCCGGTCAGCGCCGGCAGGGAGAAAGGCGACCGGGCCGTGCATGCGGAGCACGCTCGCGCCACCGGCGAGTGAATCGACGGGGGCCGGTTTTTGTCCCCGGTTGTTGGCGGCACTCAGGCTCGTCGAGAGCGAGCGGACTATTCGCTGCTGGCCAGCCCAACCGTTGCTGTGCCGCCTCCCAGTCTGACGAAATCCGGCCCGTCGCCCGGCGATGACCGTAATGCAATGAGAGCCCGCGCCGGCGCGGCCGGAAGCAGCCTCCCTTGGCCGAAGCCCCGGGGTCGAATGCCAAACAGGACCAACCGCTGCGGCGTCACGATTGTATTCAGCCATTTATCTTGGACACAAACTGTAATAAGGTCGAACAGAAATTTAGCACTACTTCAATGTAAACAAACTGTTCGCTCAAACACCACACACATCTTCGGAATCAACCAGAGCCTTCAGGTTCACCGTGATACAAACGAGTACGGTGGGCGACGATACGCAGATGCCCAGGCACAGGCGCCGCACGCTCAGCTGGATTATCGGCACACGGACGAACACACCCCTCGCGCTAATTACAAAATCGCCCGTGCCCGGCGGCAGCGCAGGTCCGTGGTGGCGGCAGCCAGGCCCACGGCGGACACGTCAACGCGCGAGCAGAGCCGCGGGCGGCGTGGCAAGAGGAGGTACAACCGGTCGCCGGCACTGCGCGAACAAAACAGAGACAGAGCGAGAGCGCGAACGAGCATGGCCGGCGGCAGCGGGCCGCGCGGGCGACGCCGTCGCCGGCGGGCCGGACGGGCCTCGACCGCCGGCGGCGCGGTCGGTCGGTCGCCACGCTGGCGAGGCGCGGCGCCGAGTACAAAAGCCTGCACACAGTCTCGGCTACGAGGCACCTACTTTTTCTGGATTTTCTACGGGCCGCTCACTTCACTTACACGCACGCGGGCACAAGTTGGAAGTCTTATCAAAAGACTACACGCGCGCCAGGCGCGGCTTGATAGCAAACTACGGTCCGCGGTTCGCGGCGTGGAAAACGTATCAAAGCCGAGCCAATGGCGGCGCCACCTACCCCGCCTCCACCGCGCTCACCGTACCGGCGGGTACCGCTCCGGCCCCCCGCCCCCCGAGCCCACCACCGGCGGCGTGCCTCCTCCCCGCCGCCGTCCAACCAAGTGGGTGAAAATCCTAGAAAAGCTCGGGTAAAAACACAGAAAGCGATGCCTCCAGTCGCCTCGCCGCCGGCGCGCCCTATTTGGTAGTCCCCATATCACAAGTTCTCGGGTCCGCCGCCGGAGGGCGCTAGGAGAGCATGAAGCTGAGCCGGCCGTCGCGGACGGCCGTGGCGATGCGTTCGCCCATCACCTCCTGGCTGGTGTAGTCGGGCAGCTTCAGATAGTTGACGCACGTCATCACCGACGGCAGAAAGTCGTCCGGACTCTCGTTTGACTGCACGATCTTGCGGACGATGGTGAGCGGCGGGGAGAGCGCGCGGAACCCTGGCGGCGGGCGGGTCAGGTACGGGTCAGGCGACAGGTCCCCCGGCCGCACACACAAGAACGGAGCTCACTGAACCCAAAAACAGCAATTATTTGGGGTGGCTGACTAACCTGGTTCCCACAATGATGCACACAAGTCTCGTTAGCATCAATTAGTGTCCGCAGCTTCAACGCAGTTGAATGTGTCCAGCAATCACTTGTCAAACATCACTTTAAAGATGCATGGCTGTGGCCAGGGTTCTAACATACAATTCCCGATTAACAATCTTATTCGAGGACGAATTTCGATGCGCATTTTATGATGAACCAGCCGACACACGCATACCTGATCGGTACGGCGCGGAACGAGCGAGGCAAGAACACAGGTCACTGCTGCGATCTCGAGCTTAACGGCTTTAAAAACCGATGCAAACGGGTTGAAAATGATCAGTGTTGGAACAGGCAAGACAGGACGCGCACGCATGCAACCAATCAACGAGGGTTGGCAAAGACGAATCGTAACATGTCCAGAACGGGTGCAGTTGAGGCAGTGGCAGCTCGTTCTCTCGCTCTCGCCAGCCCACACAGTCGCGTTCATGCAGCACCCCGTAACACGCTGAGCCATACGGCGCCAGGCACGCTGAGACGGCCAGCCGGCTCAGTCCGTTCGGTCATTATCGCGACCGGCGAGCACAGCTCGCACGACTGGATGTCGGGAGGAAGACGACAGGGGAGGCGACAACAGGGAGCGGGCTGGCGTCACCCACCTCCGACGGGCAGGCGAGGCGAGCCAGTGACGAAGCTGAGGAACTGGCGGCGCTGCTCGTGGCTGAACTCGGTCAGCACGCGCACCAGCCGCTTGATGGCTGGCGAGTCGTGCGTGTAGCCGTGGTCGGGCTTGAAGGCCTCGCTCAGCGAGCGCTCGTCCCACGGGCTCTCCTACAGCGACGACACGTCACCACGTCAGAGCATGTCCCGAGCGAGCGTGGTGCAGCGCAGTCAGCCGCTTGCACCATGGCAGACCGGCTCACGCCAGGCCACTCGCCGCGGCACACCGGCTCCCGCCAGGCCACCCGCCGCGGCACACCGGCTCACGCCAGGCCACCCGCCGCGGCACACCGACTCACGCCAGGCCACTCGCCGCGGCACACCGGCTCACACCACGCCGCTCAGCAGCCGCGCCACCGGCCAACATCGCCGGGCCGTGACGTCACGGCGTCGTGTGTCGTGTTGCCGGAGTATCCAAGGCCTGCAGAGGCCGCTCGTCGAGCACTGGCTCGTCGGAGTGAGGCGAACGTTACGATCAGCCCGAGCCCGCGGTGGCTAGATTTCGCACTCTCATGCTGTCCCCACTTGAGCAGCTACAGTCGTAACCTATCTCTATCCCTTCCAAGGTCCGTATGCCCATCATGCTAAGCCCCGAACTTGGAACCGGATAACCATATTCAATCACTGCAGAGAAATCACGGTTTACCCCGCTGCATGAACTATCACGAGATAACACAGAAGTCGCATTTTAGCGACTGCAACCTGACAAGTCACGTCCGACAGCTTTGCATTATCGCTGCCACGACCCAGCTGCTGGCGGCTCCAACCGCTCACGCCCGGGCGTCTGCACGTTGCACCGCACCTTGCCCGTCCAAGCCTCCAGTCGAGACGGGCCGACAGGGCCGACGCCGCCGTCCGTGTGATCGATAGAGGACGCCGACAGCCCGCCACGGCGACACCGGCTGACAAACGAGCGTGCGCCACGCCACGCCGCCGACCCACCTGGCTGCCGCAGAACAGGCAGTCGATCTCCTCCGGGAAGAACATGCCCAGGTTCTCCAGCGGGAACACAGACTCGAAGCCCTCGCGGAAGGCCTCCATTTGCCGGTAGACGCTCTCGAAGAGGAGCCAGTGGGTGAGCAGCTGAGGGCGGACGCGCCGGGCAGGGTCAAGTTGCGGCGCCCGCGTGATAAGACTAGAGCAGCCAGTGGCGCCGGTCATCACGACACATATCGCATAAAAACAAGCTGCTCGAGAGGAAATCCTGCAAACCGGGAACTCCACACAGACCCACGCTGAAATAGCGTCTCGCGTAAGACGAAAAGTTCGTCGTGTCTGCAGCGACCCTTCACCACTCCATCCTAGGGACCCGCTCTGAAAACGACGATGATTCATGCTCCAAGGAGAGCAGACGTCCGCGGCCATTTAGCACCTGCCGCAGGACACTGTTCCAGGCTGTCACTTGGCCCGGGAGACAGCAGCCGGCGGTGTCCCACCTTGAGATACTGGTCCAGGTTGTGGATGGTGACCGGCTCGTCCCTGCCGCCCCGCTTCAGCTCGATGCCCGGGTGTCCGGGCAGCGTGAAGTCCAGGCCCAGCTCCTCCACCGAGCAGCCGTCGACGCCCAGCGCCTCGACGGCGGCGCGTCGCTGCTCGCCGCCCAGCGCCGGGTCCGCCTCCAGCTGGCGGCGGCGGCGCACCACGGCCGCCAGCTGCGACAGCGTGGCCGCCAGCGACGCGTCCAGCTGGTGCACGTCGGCCAGCGTCATGGAGCGCTCCTGACGCAGTAGCCACTTGTAGAACGGCACGCTTAGCGGCAGGTCCAGCAGACGGAAGTCCGTCAGCGCCTTGGCCATCAGCTTGCCTGCGGAAGGCGGGAGACAGCCGGTGTCAGGAAAACGCCGCGGGCGGCAGGACTGGGGGGAGACGTGGGGACGGGGCAGGGGTAGATGGGTGGGGTCGATGAGAGGTGGTTAGGGTGAGAGGTGAGGTGGGGTAAGAGGTGACGTAGGGTGAAAGGTGAGGTAGGGTGAGGGGTGAGGTACGACGAGAGGTGAGGTCGGTTGAGAGCTGAGGTAGAGTGCGAGGTGAGGTAGGGTGAAAGGTAAAGTAGGGTAAGAGGTGAGGTAGGGTGGGAAGTGATGTAGGATAAAAGGCGAGGTAGGGTGAGTAGTGAGGTCGGATGGGAGGTGAGGTATAGTGAGAGGCGAGGTAGGGCTAGAAGTCAGGAATGTGAGGTGAAGTGGGTTATGAGGTGGGTTGAAGAGGTGGAGCAGGGTGCAGTGCGCACCAAAGAGGAGGCGCGAGCTGGTGTAAAACGGGGATCTGCCGTCAGCCATCCGCAGGATTCAGGACGGTGGGGGAAATGGCCGTCCAACAGAACAAACCATCCAGTACGGAGTTCAAACCACGAGCCAGTTGCTTTTGATCCTTGCACGTCACCACTCTAGTATATAGCGCTACACGGCGAGAACAATCACCTAGTAGCCAGAGCACAGTAAACATGTCCCAAAAAACTTAACGACCACCACGTTATGTCTAAAACCGGTCTTATACTAATAAACAAACAAGAGCAAGAGCGAGCAGCTCCCCAGCTAGGTAGAGCATATCACTGTTTCACGGCAATCCCACACCGCACAGACGTCTCGGCCGGGCGGCGCATCGGCCCCGGCCGGTCGGGCACGTACCGAGGAACTTGTACTTGGCCTTGAGCCGGGTGATGGTGCCCGACTTGCCGGAGCGCGCCACCGGCGACGGGTAGAGGCCGAGCGGCGCGTGGATGTACTCGACGCCGTCGGAGGCGGCGGCGTCGGCGGCCGACGAGGACGACGACGGCGCCAGCTTGTCGGCGGTGATGTCGGGTGGCGGCCGGTACCGCTCGCCGCGCCACAGCTCCGCGTCCGCCCGCTGCCGGGCGGCACAGGGCGCCCTCAGTGCGACTCACGGCGGCCGCGGCCGACACCGGCGCCACGGTGACACCGCTGGGCGGGCATGGCGCATACCCATAGCTGGCAGCTGCCCATTACGGAAGCGATGGCTCAGGTAGCGTAAAAAGCGCTTAGCAAGGACACAACCCGGTCAGCGCCGGGAGGCACTTATAGTGGCACGCATACCGCACGATCTAAAAACGGAAAATAAAAAAGAAATGCCAACTGTCTCTAGGTTTTCAACACACTTGGGTCACATCACTCGGCTTAATCAAGTGCAAATATTCAGACCCGCGCGGGTTAATGAGTGCCTATTTGCGCGTGATACAAGTACTGCGCAGAACATCCACACCCGCATCACGAGCTGCCGCTGCACAAGCTGCCACCCGTTCCGTCCCCTCGCCACGCCTGCCACGCACCTGCAGCTCGCGCGACACCTGCGAGTAGAACTCGAGCGTAGGCCCGAGGCCGGAGCCGACCTCGTTCTCGTACTGGACCTCGAGCAGCGCGCGCGAGCCGGCCAGCTCGGCCATCAGCGCCTCGGCCTGGCGCACCAGGTCGTCGCGCGACACGGTGCGCTTCTTGCGCTCCAGCTTGGGCGCGATGCGGTCCTCGCTGTCGGCCGCCTGCAGCTCCGGCGACGACTCGATCAGGCGCAGCAGCGCCCGGTCCCGGTCGAACGTCGACGTGAAGAACAGCAGTTGGCGCGTGTCGAACGGGAACAGGAACGGGCTGCCGGCGGCCGGACGCCTTGTCAGCCGGCGGCGACCAGACGCGGTGGCCAGACAGCTGATCGCTGCGTTCAGGCCAACAACAATGTTCGGAGCCGCAATTGAAACCCGAGCAGAGCAGGAAATGTTTACCCCGCACCAATCGGTGTGAGGGACTTGCAACAACAATGGCCTAGGGCAGTTACATCTGTTGCCAACATAAACCACACCCGGAGATTGGCAGGAAACGGTGCGAGGTCGCTGAGTTCGACAACTCCCACCAGCGCCGACAAAAGGTCCCGCCGCGGCGTCGCCTCGACAGCAGCACCAGCACAGCACAGCACAGCTCTACTCTGACGGGCTGCGCGCGGCCTCGCCATCCACCGTAACACACCACTCCGCCACCTGCTTTCGCCAACGGCCGGACCCTTTCACTGCGGCGCCGTTAAAGCCGTACTACCACCCCGCGCTCGGGCCGCAGCACCGACGCTTTCCGGAGAATCTTCATTGCATTCGCGGCCGAGCGAGCGCCGCCTTTACGTTCCGTTCCGAGCCGTCACGCAAAAACGACGGAGTGCGGCGCGGAACAATCTCAGGGCGCGCCGCCGGCCGGCAGCGGCCGACGCCGGCGCCCGGGCCTCTCGCTCACCAGGCGAGCCCGATCTGCTGCAGCCACTGCGGCGTGTTGCCTGTCATCACGATCACCGGGTCCTGCAGCTGCCGGTTCGCCTTGGCCGACACCTTGCTGTTGATGAACTCCTGCCGACGGCCGGGTGGGTGTCAGTTGGCCGGCGGCACGGCGGGACGGCACGATCTGAGTCCGGCGGCCGGCCGGCGCCCGGGCCCACGGCCGGCCGGTGAGCCGGTCCCGTGCTCGACGGTGATAGATCATAGGTATATGCATTATAAACATAAGTCACAGGTCATTACGTATACAGGTACGTGCTCGGCACACGACCTATCTAGCCTTAACTAACATCTGCAACCTAACGGCATACTAGGCTGAAATAATCAGTTCTTACTATAGGGACTTCCGATCCTCCAATGGCCAGCCGGCTCACGGCGCTCTTGCTTTCCAGTGACCCTCACCTTCGTTGTCAGGACGACACGACCGGCCAGCAGACCTCAGAGTCCTCCCCCCCCCCCCTCCCCACCGCCGGGCCCGCCGTCGCTCACCTGGGCCGGCAGCAGCGGCACGAAGCGTGACATGTTGTAGAGGCTGCCGTAGTGGCGGCAGAGCGCGTGCAGCAGGCGCAGCAGATGGAGCGTCTCCAGACAAGGGTCGGAGACCGTGACGTGGTCGGGCAGCCGCGGCGTCAGGTAGGCCAGCAGCGGACACACCGGCTCTGGCGCCACGCCGTCCGACCACAGCTCGTCACGCCGCTTGCCGCTGTGCTTGCTGCCGCCGCTTTTGCCCTTCTTGGCGTGCGAGCCCGAGCCGCGGCCACCGTGCGAGCTCTCCTCGGGCGCCGGCCTGCCGGGCGCCGGCGGGGCGTCAGGGCTGCCGGCCGGGAGAAGGCCTCCCAACACCGACACCGAACGGGGTCGGGGGACAGCCAAACCACCGGGCACTTGCCAGGGCTTGGGATTGTCCGATAAAACAACAGGAAAACACCGGGTGGTATCTAAGGGAGCAAGTCTAGTCGACCTGGGATTTCTCGCTGTGCACGTAAGACTGCAGGGACTTTTGACTCACATTGATTGGCATCCTTTGTTTCCACGAATTCGCCTTCATTGACCATTTATTTCAAAGGTCCAAAATTTGTGCTCGCAACACAAAGCTATCAGGTGGCCGCCAAAACGTTTTTCATCACCAATTCACCTCTCAAATCGCGAACGTATTGTTAGCGTCAGAAACGGTCTTCCGATATGGGAGCTCGTCGGCAACGACAGCAAATTTCGAGCACCACGACTGCTACCATTGTGAAAACAGCACGTCTTTGCAGTATTGTGAGTCTATTACTTTCAGCATGGTGTTCTTTTATCATTCTGAGACTTACATTTCTCGATTCGGGCTTGGCAGCGAATTAGTGAACAGCGATGACGGATTGCAGCACTTCAAGGCAGTTTTTGCCGACAATTCCATTGGTTGCCATGGGAGACGGGGTAACGCCAAAGCAGACGCAATGATGGTTCATCGAAGATAATGTCATTTCAAGTCGTTAACCATCTCATCGTTATCATTCCCCACTGACCTCTGCATCAGACATGTAAACGCGTTGATAATTATTTGGTGCCAGTTGTCGCCAGTGTTTCGATAAATTACGAGACGTATGGGCTGGTGGGCCTACATCAATAAATGGTGCTCAAGATAACAATATGCGCTGTTCATGCCAAACAGTGCCTAATTTTTACATTGAATCACAGCAAGGCTACGACATTGAAAAAGTCTGCCGAAATAATCTTCAAGATTGAAAACCCCACACAAATGTGGAACACTCCCTTGAAGGTCTTCATTGCTCACGAGGGCAAATTTACGCAGACGCGTCTTTTCTATAATAGGGGGAACAGGTGTCCTTATTCATCCAGTCACCATGACGTTATGTGCCGCCGGCGAAGTGAAGAAACTCGGCACCAAAGCAACGGCATGGAAATGGTTACGCAGACTATGAAAGCTATGGTTAGACGGCCACGGAAACATGATTTTCAAACACGAGACGGCCGCGCGGTGCGCTCCGGCCGATCGCCACGGCGACGCGGCACCGCGAGTCGGCATTGTCGCCGTTCATGGTGGCGGTCCCCGAGCCACCGAGCGCACTCCATCCAGCGCGCACCACTCGCGGTCAGCGGAGGTCACACTGCTAACGGGGTCCCACTGCCAACGGGGTCCCACTGCCAACGGGTTCCCACTGCTAACGGGGTCCCACTGCTAACGGGGGCACAGTGGCGAAGAGCCAGATACATAGAGCGAATCGGCGGAGAGGTGACGTGGGCCGAGTGGGTGCGTGGTAAACGGGAGTGCGCCACGTCGCCACCCCACCCACCGGTAGTAGATGGTGTGCGTGCGCTGGAACAGGTGCGTGGAACCGACTGTCAGCTCCGAATCCGAGTCGGTCGGGTCCTGGCTGAACTGCTGAATGGCCTGGAACACTGTCATGTTGTACGGCAGCACGTGGTCGTTGATGATGAACTGCAGCTTGTGGTTGTTGCCCTGGCTGATGCTGACGGCCGCCTGCCGGGCGGGGACACGGGGCGTCAGCTGACCACCTACAGGTCAACAGGGGGTCAGCTGACCACCTACAGGTCAACAGGGGCGTCAGCTGACCACCCACAGGTCAACCGGGCGTCAGCTGACCACCCACAGGTCAATAGGGTCATAAGCTGACCACCTACAGGTCAACAGGGGCGTCAGCTGACCACCCACAAGTCAACAGGGCGTCAGCTGACCACCCACAGGTCAATGGGGTCATAAGCTGACCACCTACAGATCAACAGGGGCATCGCCTGACCACCCACAGGTCAACAGGGCGTCAGCTGACCATCTAGGGGTCAACAGGGACGTCAGCTGACCACCCACAGGTCAATCATGCCAGCTTTTATGACGGGCTTCCTTAAAGGTCCACAGGTGTGGAAGTCTACAGCCACCCGCTTGAAAAGAGCCTCAGTTGCCGGCCCGGAATTTATAACAAAATGCGAGCGAACCAGAGCGCTAAGCTATTAACAGTTTGTGCTGCAGGCTAGAACTGGTGCAACGGAACCAAAGTCCATGTTAACTCCGGACAGAACAGACAACAAAGAGAATGTCCCTTGGGTAATGCTATAATAATGTATCCTCCCTCCCCCCCCCCCCCCAACTCCTTCCAAAAGCAGCAGCCTTTCGTGGCGTCTGTTTTCCGCCACTCCCGGATCCACCCCGATGACGCACGACACCGCACATCTCACTGGCACCACCACCCGAGCGCGGTCCGCCCTGGCTGCGCCGGCCCGGCGACGGCGACGACGGTGCCGTACCAGCGTGTCGTCGATGTCGTCGTCCGAGTCGCCGTCGTCGGATCCGTCGTCCTCGTCGTCGCGGATGCGGCCGTAGCCGCGGATCACCAGGTACCGCTCGATGGCCTGCACCAGCGCCAGCGGGTCGATCTTGACCGGGCCGCCGCGCCACTGGCGCAGGTTCGAGCAGTCCGGCTGACGCTGCAGGTTGCACTGCCGGCCGGAGACGAGCGGGGAGTGAGGGCAGGCGGGCGGGCGGGCCGAGGCCGGCGGCGGCGGCCCGACTCGGCTGGGGCGCCGGGACCGCCAAGCGCTCGACGGTCCGGCGCTCCAGACCGAACGTGACGAGAGCGCCGGGCACGGAGGCGGCGGGACACGGAGATCAGCGGGACGCGAGGCCGCAGCAGCCAGGCGTGGAAACAGCGGCGCCCACTCACGCGTTCACCAGCGTCGGCTGACGCCGTAACTCACCCGGCGTCACTTGCAAAGCACTTTCCCGTCCTCGCGCCACATCGCTTTGTAACAATAGCGCCGACTGGTTTACTAATGGCCGTAACGTGGGCAGCTACACCGGCAAGCCAAATAAATAACGAAACACGGAGCAGATCAATACGCCGGTCCGACCTCCACGGTCCACAAAGCTGATTTAAGCGGTCGTTGGCGGCGTCCGACGGACCCAACCGGACACCCGGCCGCCATGCCGACTTACCTTGAGCTGATTCTGGTTGAAGTACTTGAGTGCACTCTGGCCGGACGGGCCGCCGGCCGTTTCCGACACGTCGTGCACCTTGACCACCAGCTGCTCCACCTGCGTGACGCAGGCGTTCAGCTTGGCCACGAGCGCCGAGAGCGTCGCCGTCTGCTCGGTGCCCGGCAGCCACGGCTCCACCACGTCGGCCAGCTCGGCCGGGCAGCCGGCGAACACGTGCAGGAACGTGCGCAGCCGGCGCTCACGTTCGCTGCCCTCGCCGTCCGTCAGGAAGGCGGTCAGCTGGCGCACCAGGCCGCTGCGCAGCACCTCGAACGGCGAGATGTCCGAGTGGCGCAGCACGGCGCCCACCTCCTGCAGGGCGGCGCGCGGGGCGGCCGGCTGCTGGCGCAGCCGCTGCAGCGCGCCGCCCAGCCGCGCCATCAGCGCCGTGTGGCCCGACGTGTCGCCCGAGAAGTGCTGCTGGATGAACTGCTGCGCGCGCTCGCGGATCCAGCCGCGCACGCGCTCCTTGCTGCCCGACAGGCTGGGGCTGCTGGAGGCGCGGCTCAGCAGGCCGTCCTGCGCGACCCGGGGCCAACGGTCAGGGTGGGACACCGCTCACGGGCGGCGGCGACACACGCCAGACCCAGCGCTGCTCATGCCCGATGCCGTGCATGGCGTCCGTGCTTCGGGACATCGGCTCGTTTGCTGCCTCGGGCAATGACCAGCGGCACGGTAATTAATTTTCCCTCATTACGAACGAGGTCGTTTCGTCAACAACCCCTATCGCCGCTTCAAAACAGAGCCATTACGCGCACGACACCTCACGTCCGGCGTCAGCCGACCCCGGTCCGGAGAGCTGCGCCGCCGGCGCCGGAAGCTCACCTTTGAAAGACCTCGGTCGCCGAGCGGCGAGTTGGAGGCGCTGCGCCCCCAGCGGGCCGGGTTCAGGCTGGCCAGGAACGATGTCTGGAAGCGGCTGCCGCCGGCGCAGCCGCCGGCCGCCGCCTTGCCACGCGCCGCCGAGCCGCCGCCGCCGCCGCCACCGCCGCGGCTGGAGCCGGCCGCCGCTGTTGCGGGCAGGCGGAGCGTCAACAGTGCCAGGCCGCCTATGGGCCTTTCTAACGGGTTCCAGCGACTGTGCCGCTGTCCTCGGTCGGGGCGGGCGAGGGAGGGGACTGCAGAGGGCGGTGATCACTGAGATGTATGGTCTGCCTTGCACAGATACTCCTCTTACAGGAGGAATGGGTAACTCCAACGGCGTAGGCCTTCAGCAGCTATTCTGCTGCGGTCGGAGGGCGACGCACGTGACACAAAACACAGCTCGATATCAACCGTGTAAACACTTCCTAACGAGGGAGACAGTTAGCGGCCAACAGAACTCGCGCAGTTCGTGGAAAGATGTCGCAGCTGAAAGTTCTTATGTTAGTCTTCGAAATACCAGGAGGTACCGGCCAGGCGACGCTGTAATGCTCAATAACGACTCAACTGAAGGTACTCGATATTTCGAGCTGTGCTGATCCTCACGAGTGGAAGGCGTCCACAAAGGTTCAGCACAGTATTATACCTCAAAATATCCACTGTGAATCCAGAGAATTTTCTGTATTCATCAAGACACGTGAATCGGACACCGCAGTCTTTCAAGTCTTTATTGTTAGTCTTCTGGAGCCGACTTTATAATTTTTTAGGAGCATTCTCTGGATTAACGCGTTTTATTTTTTGAAAGTCATATTTTGCTGAGCATTTTTGTACCATTGTCGTATTCGAGGATGGGCACGGCTCAGAATAGAGTACCGTCAATACCATCGTTATTTAACATTACAATGTCCTCTGACTAGTACCTCCTGGTGCACTGACGGTTGTTAACTCAAAATAAAGACTTTCCACTCATCGTATTCTAACCGATAACTTGTGTTAACACACGACCAGCCCTTTTCATTGCTCTAGATAATTACAAACATCAAATCTGGACCGCAACTGTGAGCCAGAGACGCCTCTCGTGGAATAATTCAATCCGGTTGTCTTCTTTGCGAGCAGTTTGTTCTATGCTTGCTACAAAAACGAGGAAGTACAAAGTTTGACTAAAAAAAGCCAGAAGTTCTGGACAGCACACAACGAAGGCGTTACGCATCGCCGAGTCCAAACAAACGTCTTGTAATGTTAACGTCTTGTAACGAACACCCCCGGGATCTTCAGTGAGGGCGAAACGACTGATGGGTCGACGCGCCCCACCGGCCCGGAGAGGTCCTCCGTCCGGTCGGCTCATTCGCCGAGGACAACTGCTCCACTTCGTGGCCAGTGTTCGAAGGGGGCTGCTTGGAGGGTCCGGAGCGCCCCGGAGCCGACCGAGCGCCGGCAACTGGCTGGCCCGGCTCTCGAGGATGGCGCCCGTCCCGCGCTCCAATCAGCTGACGCAACACGCGCCGAGCGCGCGCTCGGCGGCCACTCGGGGCGGCGAAAGCATTTCGGCCGGCACTCGGCGCCCAATCCTGCTCTGATTGACTCGACAGCTCCGACCGAGTCCGACCGCCGCCGTCGTCCCTCGACAGCACGAGGAGCGTTTGCGGGTCCGCAGGTCAGCGTCGCGTTCGTCGGAAGCGACGGGGCGGGCCGCCGGGCGTGTTGCCGCGGCGACAGCGCCGCCGCTCCGCTCCGCACCAGGCCAGCCCTGGCAACGGCTATCGACAAACCGGGCTCCTGCACGGCAGTCTCGGCGGAGCCTTTGAAACGGCACAGCGACCCGCCGTAATGACAGCTCACGACACGGCGCTTCACTAACAGAGCACGCTGGCCGGCCTGGCAGAGCGGGCCGCGCCACCCGCGGAGTTTCTACAGCGCCGCCGCTCAACAAGCATCCATCACCGGCGGTGATTAGCGTTCGGGTCAGCGGCGGGCAAAACAATTAACGATACAGATGCATCGAGCGGCGTGTGGCGGCTGGCCGCACCCACCTCTGGAGAGGGTGTCGAGTGTGGTACCGGTCGCACCCGGCGCCGCCAGCGGCGCCTCCTCTTGACGCGACTTGCGCGACGCATTGCCGGACCGCTTGGAGGTGCGCTTCCGCTTCAGCACGTCACTCAGGCTCCTGGCGGCAGGGGAGGCGGCCACGTCAAGCGCAGGCCACGCGCAAGGTCAGGACGGCGCCGCGTAAACCTCGCCCGGGTGGCGCGATTTGCGCGGCTATAGCGATCGCGGCTTCGGAGTGCTGAGTTCACCTTACGTGTCGCCCCCGTCACGATCAAGTGTGCACCAGGCAGCCGTTGATCTATTCTCACACGCGAATAATTTGCGAGAAGCCGTCAGTTGGCCGTCGCTGTAGATTTGTTGGCCATAGCTGCAGTAACACCTCCAACTTCCACTCCGCCGTTGCAATGACCTGATTCGTATTTAACGGCGAAGAGCGGCATCCTGCGCCGGCTCAAGCATGATTGCTTAGTGACGAAACTGACCGCACGCCAGACGGCGGGAAAAAGGCGACGACGGGCGGCGCTAAATAAATTATAACTACCTACACCAAATGGCCTGAGCTCGAAAACATGATGTTAACGAACACAGGCCTTCTAAATACGTAAGGATGGTGTCCCAAAATGCTATTAGTTATGTGCATCAGGATATTTCTGAACCGTGAGGTAACGTGTAGACTTCGACCTCGCCAAACGTGGCCAACGGGTGTACCGGTCCGTACTAAACACACCGGGCCCTCCCGTCCGGCACGGCAGCCGGCAGCCCTTCTTTCAAATGTAAACTATTCGACGCCAGGCCGGGACCCGCCTGAAACCTTCAAGCGCGCTGCAGGGACCCGCCCCATGCCGCACTGCCACGTGTCGGGGACCCGCTCCATACCGCACTGCCACCTGTCGGGGACCCGCGCCATACCGCACTGCCACCTGTCGGGGACCCGCGCCATACCGCACTGCCACCTGTTGGGGACCCGCTCCATACCGCATTGCCGCCTGTCATCGTACGATCCGCTGCCGGGCAGCTGTGAGCGGCACGGCTGCACCCGGCACCGCCGCAGCCCCGCGTCCGCAGGTGCGACCGATAGGGCTGCAGCGCCGCCACAGGTGCGGACAGGCGGCCACCGGACGACACACACACATACAGAGACGTCAGCACCACCCGCCGGCCTCAGCCAGCGAAGGTGCCGGGGCAGACGCCCAGACCGCCGCCGCCGCCGCCGCCGCCGCCGGGACACAGCTGGACGGCGGCTCGTCACGCCCCGGCCCACCGACGCGCGCTGACAGGCCGAACCAGGACGGTCCCGAACGGCCGCCGACACGCGGCTTCCGGTGTCGTGCAGCGGCAGCCTTCCAGCGTCAGTCTTTGATCGTGTCCAGTTCGTCGGCGCACGTCACGCGACTCAGAATTCTTGGCGTCATACGTGTCTTTTTCAGCTCGCGCCAATGTCATAAGCCCGCCCCACATAACCCAAAGGCACCCGGAATGCATCACTATCAGTCTGACTCTCAATGCGTCTAGACTCGTGTTCCGACGGCTCTCTGAATCGCGCGAATCGCCAGCCCAGAGCAGCACCAATTCCTGAAGATGACGCCTCTGACGCCCCGCCTTCCCTCGGTCTTGGCGGGACCCGGCGAGGGGCACTCACAAGTTGGTGGGCTCGTCGCCGGCGGCCGAGGCGGCGGCCGGCGGCGGCGTCTCCAGGTAGGCGGGCAGCGAGGCGCTGCTCGGGCCGGCGGCGCACAGCTCCGGCCCGCCGGCCGCGCCGGCGCCGCCGCCGCCGCCGCCGACGCCACTTCCACCGCCCGGCGACGGCATCGGCGTCGGCGCCGTCGGGTCGGCCGCCAGCTGGTTGATCTGGTAGACGACCCCTGCCGGAGCGGCGACGTTGCGTTAGGAGGCGGCGCACGGCGGTCGCGACACGGCCTCAGGGTGGCGGCGGCGCCCGGCGTCGAAGCCGAGGTCATCTCACGCCTCGTTGCGGTCGTTATGGTTAATACCTGCGACGGACTAAGTCGCCGAGAACGTTAAGTGCTACCGAAATTGCTTTGCGAAGTGGCCGCGGCACCACAACTTCAACATTTACTGGGGGAAGAGCCGGGGAGGACTGGGGTCGGGCCGTACCTTCGCGTCGGAAATGGATGCTGCACTGCTCGGGCAGCTTCTGGATCAGCACCTCGGCCAGCTGCAGCGCGGCCACCACGATCTTCAGGTCGCCCGACGACAGCATGCCCGTCAGGTGGGAGGACACCTCCTGGATGCCGACCAGGTCCTGCCGCGCACGAGACGGTACCGGTCAGCACCGGCCGCACCGCCAGCGCCAGCAGCGCCCATCTAAAAGCGGCACGTCGTACCCGGCGCCGCTGTACAAGCGGCCCAACAACGCAAGGCGGCGACGGAATGACGGTACGTCAACGTCTAAGTCAGTGCGACGCCACCTCCTGGGATCGATATCCCAAAGCATCCACTGATAGCGATGTAACGACGATGGCGACGACGTGTCACCCTTCTCGCCAGGCCGACACGGACCAGTCGTGCTCTCCTCTGACTGACCTACCGCGGGCGTGACCTGATCACTACGGCGGCCATCCGTCACGTAACGCTTCACTCGCCCAGTGGCGCGCCCGAGCGCTCACCTTCAGCATGTCGGGGCTGGCGAAGTAGACCATGCGCAAGATGGCGCGCAGACACATGTGGCGCACGGCCGGGCCGGCGCACGAGCTGTACACCTTGTACAGGATGGAGAAGAGCGTGCCGACGAGGCCGGAGTACAGCGGCCGGTTGGCCTGCAGCACGGCGAGGCGCGGGTCGGCTCCGGACGGTGCCGCTGGCGCCGACGCGCCCAGCGGCGCGCCGCCGCCGCCGGCCGGACCGTGCGCCGTGCGCCGCTGGATCGGCCGCGACGTGCCCGTGCCCTCGTTGATTTGGCGCATCGTATTGAAGTCGATCGTGTAGTGGCGGCCCATGAAGTCCAGCTGCACTTCGTCGTCGCCCGCCTGGTTGGCCGTCTGCGGCGGGCGTGGCGTGAGACTCGCGGCCGGGGGGAGGGGGCGGCGCGTGGCCGGGATGCGCCTTTCGGCCCGGTTGGCCAGGCGATCAGTTGGTGATGACGAGCACCCCTCCGGCAGACACTTTCTCGCGCTCTCTCGGACCTCTCCTCAGATGTACAGAGCGCCTAGTAAAACCAAAAGTAAACATGGCATGCCCGCCCCAGGAAGGAGCTGTTACCAGCGACTCGCCGAAGGCACAAGTCATCTGGCGCACACCGCCCTCGGGCCGGGCCCGGGCCCGGGCCAGACGCGCGCGCCAGCGCCATGTGCGCCGCCGCCAGACCGCCCGGCAGCGGGCCCAACCCACTCGCGAGCGTCCTCTGGCCCGGCGCCAGCAGCGGGTCCCCCCGGACTCGGTCCGGCCGCGCCTCCGAGCCGCGCCGGCCGCCTCACCTCCACCGTGAAGCTGTCGGCGTGAGAGTAGTTGTGCCAGTTGCTGCGGTCGTCGCGCCACTGCCACTGCACGTACTCCTGGCGACGCGGCACGTGGCGGAGGTTAGTCACACGGGCGCGCGGGGCCGCGCGTGCGTCCCAGGCCGGGTGTGCGACGGTGGCCGTCGCCGCCGCTGGTGGCGGTACGCGGCACGGCCGTCGAGTCACAGGCACAGGTACGGTCACCCAGACAACAGGACTGCGAGAGGAGGAGCGGCGGGGAGGAACCCCAGAGTCACTCAACCAGAACGCCGCCGCCGTTCTCTACCACAACGCACCACTCGGCGATCTCTCCGGGGGTCATGCCAGCTCGGTGGGGCCGAATTTCAGTTCCGCGTGAGCCCTCGACCTCGAGCTGGGAGGAGTCGGCGCGGCCAGTTTGTCATCACCCACCCTCGGGTATATCCTGAACAGCCACTGGTCGACGCTGAAGAGGCCGTCGGTGGGCAGCGACGGCAGCAGGTCGCCCACCAGGCACATGAGCGCGTACAACTCCTCCGGGTTGCGCGACACCAGCTCCATCTGTGGACGGCGGGAGACGTCACCATGACATCACATGGCGCGGCGCGGCCGGCCGCCGGCTGTCCATCGATCCCCGTGACGTCACGCTCGCATACGCAACAGCCAGCTGGCGCACACTGAACCAGCTCTGCTTCCTCGGGCGCCTCCGATCCGGAAGATGTCGCACGGAGCGGGCGGACGGAGCTTGGGCGCCCTCAGCTGGCATGAAGGCCGCGGCCTCGAGCTGCTTTGGCTTCCCGTCATTTACGTAATAGGTGACGACTGACGGCCGTGGCACCGCGGAAGCAGACACACTGATCATCCTCGCTTCAGGTTCGTGATAGAGCGAGCGGAGTCGAGTTTCTGATCATCACCATCCACGGATACGTCACGTTAAAGGGAGTCATACGCATTCAAATCGCGTTTTGAACAATAAAAGCTACCTTGAACATCTTTCGGTGCTGCTCACAATCCTGCCCTTCTGAAGACTAAGCCTCTCTAATTTCTGAGCCACACGCTCGTGAAAATGGGGAGAGGCACATCGGGAAGTGTTTCAAGGTCACCTTCGCATTCAAAGCGTCATAATAACGCCATCCAAATCCCGTCATTTGGCGAAATTTGGATAGCGTTATTGTGACGGGTGCTATATGGCCGTGAATTGACTCTCAACCATGTGGTGCGAGGTACGATGACGCAATCAAACCACGACGCATTGCGGAGCGTATTTACTACACACATAATGGTGCTATCTAGAACAGTCTTTTCCACTTTAAAAGTATTCCAATAATCGTAAGTGCGCTTCTTTCACCGTGTCTGATACTAACGACATTGATTTTAAAAGTATACCAACAGCCACAAGTGAGCTTCTTTCATTATACTTGATACTACCGTCTCTGATTATCTATCGGGCAGAGAACCTGACCAAAGTCCCGGGCGGTCCGCGGGTTACGTGTCATGCGTTCCAGTCGTCCGCGAATTATGTGGCGTCAATGTGGACCGGACTGCATGCGTTTTTCTCCCATTTCACATCCCACTTCACCGCGAAAACGCTGATCAGAATGTTCTGTAACAAATACCAGCTGGCCAGTGATCGCGTTCACATGGAAGGCAAGTAACTCATCGTGACCTGCCGCCATCATCGAACTGCTCACTAATGGCCTGGCCTCGCTGGCTGCGCTGTAGAAATATGATCTCCTGCTAGACTGCTCCATTAATCTCACCGCGCCGCCTTCATAAAACCTGACAGGGCCGCCAGCACGCCGAATGACCCGTCATTCAACAGTCTGCGTCAGGCCACAAAAACACGACCGACGACAAAAATGCACCGAGCCGTGGCAACGGCTCGTCACTGCGACTCGTCAATAGTGACGGGCCGTGGCCAACAGTGACCAAGACGCCCCGCAGATCCGCCGGACACGAGGACGGGCAGCGCTTGGTGCGAGTCACGCCAATCACGCTGAAGGGTCCGCTGATTGCGAGAATTACAACAAACTCCGGGCCAAGAAGCCCCACCTGAGACGCACAAGATGCTGCGCACCAAGCCTGGTTTCGGCGAAGCGCCCAAGACTCCCTTGCAGGCGAAGGTCGAGTCAGCAGAAGGTATCCGCAGGCCACATTAGCTGTGTCAGCCAACGAACTTTTGCACTAGAAACAATTCCAATGATGATGATGAATTGCAATTTTAGGGCGTGTCGACTGCAAATGGTCATATGGCGCCCTAACTACAGTGTTACGAGGCAGTCACAACTCAACGGATTTTTAAAATGCAAAAACCGCCAACCTAAGCAACTGTGAGAGAAACCATGGTGCAGGGGAGAAAACATCGGAGTGAAAATACGGCAGATAGAAACTGAAAAAGCTTTCTAGTTCTGATAGCTTCAGCCGTTTTTCAATGTCGGGCAGTACAGGATCTGGGGCAGTCCGCCCAAAGAACCGCACTCGCGTTCCAACTCGGTCACGACAGGCAATCAACACGAAGTGCACAATTACGGGTCACGGCACCGGGGCCAGCGGGAGCTATCACCAGCAAAAAGCGGCTGCGGTGTGTCCTATGCGAAGGCGGCAGAGAGTGACTTCCCCTCCTCTGCATTTGCGGAAACATGACTGTCACAGCCCGATCCGAGGCTTCATGACATTAAGCTTGTTGCTAAGCGAAAACCAGTCGTGTTGCCACCGCTCATGCACAAATGACGAAACGGCTGGGTACACGTCCTTTGCAGGTAATGGTGTAACGGGCATGCGGTTCCTTGCGCCGAAAGCTTGCCTGCTGCATCGGCGAGATCATTTCCAGAGATCCCCACGTGACTCGGGATCCAACAAAAGACCACCAATTTTTCTCGCTTGATCTAGTAAGGTAATACGCGAAAGAATATCTTGAAAGAGCAGCTTAGTCAAACACAGACCACCAATAGCCAGAAGGCTGCTAAAACAAGGGGCTTTGATGTCAGTAAGACAAAAAATGAGGGGATTTAGGTCTGAAGAAGGGCAGGGCTGTGAGCTGCACCGAATGCTCTTCAAGATGGCCATTTCCGTTCAAAATCCCACGCAAATGTGGAACACACCTTTTAACACGCGCTCGGGCGGGGGTCAATTTGACCCTTCCCCGAAGGTTTTTCCGGTACAATTTCAAACGTTGAGGCGTAGCCGTCCCAAATTTTGCCTAATTGTAGACAATTCAATAGCAGATCGTTTGCTATACAAATTTAGATGTACTTCGTAGGGCCAAAGTCTGGCCATGATCTCAGCGAAGGCAAAAGGGAATCACTCAATCCGATCCAACAACGGAGTGTTAGACGAAGCCATACATCTCTGAGATAGCTTCTTAGGCAACACAACAATTAAATAAACTAATTTCATTGACCAAGGGTTAGGTATAAAGGTCAGACCAAGGTCAAAAACAACCTACTTTATAACTCTAGGACCTCGCTGTATGGGGGAGAGTCTGGTATTCATTGACATTATTGATGACAGAAACCGCACATTTTGACTTCATTGATGACAGAAACCGCTGATAAATCTTTCATGGGCTTCTTAGAGGTCAAAATACGCCAGTGACCTAAAATGACACAGGCCAACATTTTGTTTTTAAGAACACAGCGCCTAGCGTAATCTTTGACGCTTCTTCAAATGCAAAACTTGACGCACTCCTGTATAATTTTGGTTCCATGACCTGCGAAAGATCAAAATAGGTCAATGACCTTAGATGGGCGCCAATGACCTTTTGCTTTGAACAGGTATCTAAGTTTTGGGGCACTTTGGAGACTAATCTGGAGTTTGACACTGTTTAACCTTATTTGACCCAAAAGTCATGACCAAGGAACTTCGAACTTTGACATCAGTGAGTTCGCATGCCGACCGACACACCCCGTACATTTTTCTAGCTCTCCTAGTTTCTGAGATCTCAGTTGGGCCTCAAAATGGACCCACCCGAGCTAAGGATATTCAACCAGCCGCCCGGATACGTGTTAAAGGGAGCATCGCACCTGTTTGTGCTTTCCACTTAACGTTAGAGACGTGTACAATTCAATCAGCAATGCCAAATTTCTCGAAATCCTTCTCAATAACTCGAATTTCGATTGAAGAAGCTGAACATGCGGGAAAAATCGCATTTGGCTGCCTGCTTACCACTATGGAAGTAATGCATTTTATTTGCCTAATTTCCGTGTGCGTTCTGTAATGTCTGTGGCACACTAATGTGCAAACGTTATTGTGCAATAAATGTTATGAAAACACGAAACACTAGCTAAGACAAAAACATATGCGAACATAAAGCTATTACACCGCAAAATCAACGAAACGTTATACTATGACACTTTGACATTGGGAATAGGAGTATCACGTGACCCATGTAACGCACTGGTTCAAGCTTTAACGAGCTAACTTTTCGGTAGCGGGCCAGTACCGGCTGGGCCAATCACAAACGTTCGCTTGTTCGCACCCGTAGAGGTGCGCACGGTCATCGTCATGACGACGGTGGTCGCGACTGCAGCGGAGAAGCGTAGTAGCACTGAGTAGTGCTGTTACAAAACAAAACGTTATCATTGGACGTAACTAGTCCCGATATTTCACTATAAATATCAGGACTAATTCCTTAATTTCAATCGCCAGTTCTTTATGCTTTCGCAGGTTGGTAAGTGATATATCAGCTCTCTGTGAAGTGAGCTCCCAAGGAGAGGTCTGCATGGCACCAGGCTTCCTAACACGTTTTAAGTCCAGACCACTCTCGTCTAGAAGGTCTTGAATGCGTACGCAGGACGGTGAAGCTTCGTGAACGACGCTATCAAAAAAGCCGTAACATGTTTCCCGAAAACCCCGTTTGATAGCTAGGATGACCAGGGAACTGCGACCGCCTGCACGCGTATCGCAGACCCAGGATTCGTCGGAGAATTGCCAGTGTAAGCCCGTGAGCCTCGACCAGAACACTTCCCATCAGTGGTGTGCGGAAAGTTCCTGCGGCAACGCGGAGTGCAGCGCGATGAACTGTGTCTAGTGTGCGTTTGATCGAGTCGGATGCACCATCGTAAGTCGCCAGTAAGTAGATATAACAGGCATTCTAGTTAAGAACGCGTCAGGGAACGGTACAAAAGTGAAAGGGTCTTCTCGTCAGCATCGTACGTGTGTCCCACGCACTTTAAGATGCTCTGGGATTTAAAACACCTAAGCGTCGGTCAAACAGCGTGTCGAGAGATTTTACCACACCTTCCGTCGGGGTGGTTTGTCCTTACAGTCTGAGTCATTTCGGGATAGCTACGGCGGTGGCGGCAAAAACCGCGTGTCTTAGACATAGACAAAAGAAAGCCTTTCATGGCACTGCACTTCTCCAGATGGCTCACCGTGAGCTGCAATTGCCGTTCCATCACGCGGGCAGTCGATAAACTGCACAAAATGACCAAATCATCGACGAACGGCTGACTTTGTGAAAAAGAGCTTCCTATATCATTGACCATAACTATGGAAGTATCACGCTTAATACATTCCATGGAGCACATCGTTTTCGTGCAGATAGCTGTCTGTAAAGTGAAAGCGCAAACACCCGAAAAATAGGTCAATTTAAGTTTTGTAAACAAAGTGCCCATAGCGCCCTGAATCCTATAATGGATTAACTACAACACAAAAGCATGCTTTAACGTTGCGTCATAGGCCTTTCCCATGTCAAAGAAAATTGTGCCGCGTCACAGTTTGGCATAAACTCAGACCACACCGCAGTGTCCACAACTAGAATGCGGTGGATCGCGGTTCTGTTCTTCCCAAAACCACACTGTACATTGGTAAAAGTTTGACTTTTAAATCCAGTTAAGTCGCTCATCAAAGGGAGTGCTCCCCACATGGGGTCTTGAACTGAAATGGCCATTTTAAACGTCATCCAGTGCAGTCCACAGCCCTTCCCTTCTGAAGGCTTAAACTCCACCAGTTTCTGAGTGACACGCCCGCGAACATGTGCATACGATTTCGGGGAAGCTCTTTCAAGGCCATCCAGGCATTCATGACGCCATAACAACGTCATTTAAATTATGCCACTCACTAGCCATGCGGCAATCAAGGTTAATAAAAATATAACTGTCGAGACATCCACATCTGACGCTCGTGAGCACGAATTCCAGATATAACGGCCGGCAATTGGCTCTCATTAACTGTTATGCCAGGTGGGATGACGTAATCAAACAATAACGCATTGTGTAGCTACTTACTAAACGCGGAAATTGTGTTCTGGAGCTGCCTTTTCCAGCTAACCAATAGTCATAAGTGATTTTATTTCATCGCATCCGATGCTTGCCTCAGTATCTTCAAAACGCGGTGCATGCCTTTAATGGCAGGGCTGTGAACTGCACCGAATGATCTTCAAGGTCGCTATTTCAGTTCAAAACCCCATACGAATGTGAAACACCGTCTTTAATTCCAATGAAGTCACTTGAGAAACAGATATTCGTGGACAAAACATTATATCTCTAGCATCCTTTTCGGCCTGAACGTGTCCCAGCGGGTATATGTAACCTTATTCTACCATACCTGATGCTTGAGGACTCCCAACACTATGCAACAAACGAAAAGCCGTTTTTTAGTTCCCTTATGGTGAAACGTTGGTTTTGACAGCACATTATCTGCACAATGCTTGACCGGACATGCTTCACATGTGTTCCTGCGCCGTATCTGTGGGTCAGCAGCGCCATTTCAGCTACGACCTGACAGTATCTGACCAATAGCGTTTGCGACCCTACTCGGGTGATGTCTTGGCCTCCAATTCGCACCACTGGAAGAGGAACCGAGGACAACACGTTGGCAATTCGCTTGCTGCGGCCCACACGAGCGACGCCGGCGTGAAGCGATTCGGCGAGTCGACGTGGCTACGCCGCGACTCACGCTCGGCCTCACTTACAGCGCGTGGCGCGGCAGCGTGCGCACGCTCAAACGCAATAAGGCCGTCCTCACGGCTGCAGCGGTCGAAGGTCCTAAAGGCCCTACGACGTGCACCAATGGCGTTGCAGCATTCGTCAGTCCACCACGGTAGGGGAAAGCGGCGAGAACTAAAGGTACGCGGAGTGCAACCGTTTGCTGTTGTTAATAGAAGCGGTGCCGACATCTTAGTGTCCATGCTACGGGAAATATTACACATAACACAGTTATAATGAAGTTCGTGATGCACTGTGTCACGATAATCAAACAAACGAAGAATGTATACCATGTATACGTCCTGCAGAATATGTCGAGGCAGGAGTAGCGATAATGGGTAGAGGCCCAGGGGCTCTGTTGATGTACATGGTGTCATCAACGTGCTGCTGATCGTGCAAGTCGGTAGATATCGTCAAATGCAAGTCGGCAGATATCGTCAAGTCAAGGTGTTTGTGGCTAATAACGGAAGGAATTCGTTGGCCATCAACAGCCAGCTGCGGTGGCTTATGTGTGTTTCTGATAGTGAATGTTTGTTAAATCGTTTTCGTGGCGTTGAACGTGATGAGCCAGTCTTTACCTATCTCTGGCACACTGTATACGTGACATTGGAGTGACGCCCACGTGGCCACCCGGTCAAGTGGTGTGCCGTGTATGGCGTGGTGTAGTCGGCAAAGAACAATATGTTGTCACCAGTCTTATCGGCTGGGTCGTTGAGATATATATGCACAAGGAAAGGCCCAGGCCCGTCCCCAGCGGGCACCAAGCATGTATTGTCCTGGAAGATGGCCTAGCAGTTAATCGCAAGGACGATACCACCGAAACGATCACAGTCGTTCTTCCGCTGGAGCGGTGAAAGAGACGAAGCATTTTCCTATCACCTTAGAAAACCAGGATCCAGAGGGAGAATATCCTCCGCTGCTTCCAGGGATGGTCGTGGTCCTTTCCTTTTTCGGGGGGGGGGGGGGCTTTTTTGGCGTGAAGATGCCATGCAAGTTCTTTTAAGTTTTGCCACCGGGCTCCCCATCCACCTCGGCGCCCAATTGGGGAACGGTCCAACACTCCCTCGGGAAATGGTCACCGCCATTGCTACCCCGGTACTATACGGGGCGAACAACGCTTCTCACATGGCCAGGTGTAACCGGGGAGGCCCCTTCCCGTCCTGACCGTAGTTCAACGCCGCCACCTCATGACTCCGCAAGCCACCGCGCGCAGCCGGGCTCCTAAGCGGACACCCGTGATGGGCACGCAGCATGCAGCGCAGATGACAAGCCGCTAGACCCGTATGGAGACCTACGCCCCCCCCCCCCCCCGCGTCCCCGGATATCGCCTGTCCCCGGTGAGGCCGCCAGCGTTCCGACCCGGTCAGACGGTCCGCGGGGCACCGGCGCCCACGCCGGCACCCGGTCCGGTCAGTCACGCCGAGCTATTTCATTACGGTGATGGCGGACGGACGCGCGACACGGCCGGCCGGCGGCGGCCGCTGTCGGCACGTGAGTCGCCCGGGGAGCCGGCGCTCGCGGCCAGCCCGGCACGCTCGATCCACCACACAACTGGCTGACTGACGGGCGAGCTTGGCGAGCGGCGTCGGCGGCGAGCTGGCGCGTGCCGTCGCGCTGGGCGACGGGCGCCCGTGACGACCCGGCGACCGAGCGCCGGCGGCGACGAGCCGGATCCGCTCGCCGTCAGCCCGCGGGAGGTCGAGGGATTGCCGCGTCGGGAAGGCGGCGCGGGTCGGCGCCACAGCTGCGTCCGGGAGAAGCATGGCTGCAGTGCAGTGTCATACAAGACACATCCATTGCACGACCGGCAACAGGTGTGCGGTGTATGTGGCGCGCGTGACACTCCCACTTCCTCGCGTTTGGCTGGCGCGGCCAGCAAACACCCCAGATGCGAGGCGGTCCATGCGAAAACGCGGCAAGCGCGCGTCCGCACGGCCCCACAGGCCAGCGGTCGCTCATCGTTCCCAGTCTGCCACTCCACGGCCATCCTCTCTCCACAGCCGCGTCCCTGAGGACAATCCCTCCCGGTCTGTGGTCGGTGACGCGGCTCCACCTCCCCCGGACGGTGACGAGCCGTGCCGTCAGGGACGCCGCCCGGGACGCAGCGGCACACTGCATGACGCGGCGATAAGGCCCACACAACCGAGCTGTGTCCGGTTCAGTCACGCCGCGCGCCAGCCGTCCGCGGCCGGCCACGCGGCGGTCGCCCGTCCCCGGCTCGTCGCGTCGGAAAAAACAGACATCGTTGAACTGCTCAACCGTCCTCTGTCCTCCCAGTCACCCCCACCTCAATTCTCCCACACGTCGTCCAGCCCCCCCCCCCCCCCCCCACGCCCTTCACCTGACCCGTAGCTGGCCGGCCCGAGCAGCCCCCACTGGACCTCGACCTGCTTATCAGCTACCACCTACCACCCGACTGCGCTATTTCCGACAACACACACACACACACACAGCGCTGCACCAAGCCTTCCGAGCGACCTTCCACTCTCCCCCTCCCCCCCCCCCCCCGACCACCTCCGTCCCAATGCACTCCCGGTCACCGCTGACCCGTTCCCCGCCGTCGACTGACCTGTTCCCTGTTACCGACCAGCAGGAAGCACAGCGTGTCGGCGATGTTCTCGGACAGCAGCTGGACGGCGATCTCGGGGCAGTGGCTGCACAGCACGCGCAGCATCTTGGTCACCTCGCAGAATGTGGAGCTGCTGATCACCGGCGGCGATGCCACCAGCTGCCGGGCGCGGCGGGGCGACCGTCAGGCGGGCCACGTGTCACAGGCACAGACCGCGCCGCGCGTGCCAGCGCACTGTCAGGGGAGCGGCGCCGGCAGGGGTGGATGTTCTCAGGGGGCAGATGCGCACGGGCGGGGTAGGGGCAGACATTGCCGCTCGGAACATGCACACAACCTGTTGCGAGAGACAAAACACGCCTGTGTCGAGGCAAATACACACACGCCGGCGGGCCGGCACGAGTACGGTGGTCACGGAGCCTCGTAGCCGAATTGATATCGATGGCCACGCGGAAGAAAAGTGGCGTCGCTGCAGCCGTGCCACGGCTGCAAACGCAGCCGTGGCAGAGCGGCACCCGACGGCAACTACAGCCAAATGCGGCGGCGGCGACCGTGCATAGAACTGTGTACATGTGCGGAGTCGCGTGCTGTCTAAATCATAACTCAAGGCCGGAGAGCAGCGGGCCGGCGGGTTCGCTCCGAGTGCAGCGACCGAGCGCCGCCAGCCGTCATGGCCGTAGGAAGACGAGCTCGGCGCCAGGGTCGCAGCTGATCGCGCGCGACGACACGCTTACTGGCGACTAGAACTGGCAGCCAATGGGTCTATCGTTCAATTCAGAGCGGGGCGAACTGTGTGGGCGAGAGCTGTGCGAGATGAAATGCTTGCAAGCAGACATTGAGGGCGTCCTCACAATAGACGCGACAGATTATCGTGTATGCCCGGGCGGAGCTGACTCGGACCATATCAGGCTACGTGGGACCTGGCGATGGGACTAGCTGTAGCCACACCACCGCTACAGCGAGCGAACTGGCGACCGGCGACTGGCAGCCGCGCACCGCTGCACGCCGTACTGCATACGGCCACACCAATGATACAGCGAGCGAACTGGCGACCGGCGACTGGCAGCCGCGCACCATTGCACGCCATACTGCTACAGCCACACCACCGCTACAGCGAGCGAACTGGCGACCGGCGACCGGCAGCCGCGCACCACTGCACGCCGTAGTGCATATGCAGTATCTCGCAAACGCGGCAATCGGCAGGCGCGCACCAACGCACGCCGTAGTGCATATGCAGTATCCCGCAAACGCGACGTCATCACGCCAGGCCGCAAAGCGCCGAAGCACATTAACTGCGACTTAACAGGTCCGGCAAGCCCCCCCCCCCCCCCCTTCTACACCAGAACGACTAATGCAACACAGCCGATATCTCGCCTTGAACCCTACGCCACTGGTGTAAAAACGTCCCCAAGCCAGCAGGCGGCAAGCCGGCGCGGCGGATCGACAAGCACACGAGCCGGGTAGCTGCACAGCGCGGCTGGCCAACCGGAATGTTGACATGGCGCACTGCCAACAACGACGGTCGCCACGCCAGATCCCCGGGCCGGCTCTGTTTTGGGGCTGTGGCTTCCCGTCCCTCCCTCCCTCCCCCTCCCCCCCCCCCCCCCCCCGAGACGGCACGGAGGGCAAGAACATCCCCTTGGCAACAAGAGGGACGGCGCTGCCCGAGACGAGCGGCACGGACGGCGCCATCCGAACGCGACGCCCGCTCGCCGGCGACCGACGATGTGACCGGCACCGGGTCAGCTCGGAACACCGGCCGACGGCGTAACTAGACGAAAATGCGCGGAGTGTCGCGCGCAGGGTGCCGGCAACATCACGTAGCCCCGGAGAAACGGAGAAGGGGAGGTCGGTATACCCGCCGCACTCGGTTCGGTCGTGACCGGGCACCGGGCCCCGCCGGCTGGGGCAGGACCAGGCTGGGGGGAGCGGACAAAGCGTCGTGCGCCCAGCGTCCGGCCCAACCCCTGCCGCGTCCCGCCGCCGCCCGTCACCGCCCGCTACCGCCCGCCGCCACCCGCCGAGACGGCCGCGCCGGCCGCCGGCCGCCTCCCTTTCCCGGCCGCTGTCCGCCCGATCGCGGCGACAGACGGGCCACCACCCCGCCCAGCGAGCGAGACCGCACCGGGCCGCTGCCGGCCGCGGTGGTGGCCGGCACGACCCGGCGGCAGCTCGCGTGCCGCGCACCACGCGGGTCGGCGTCCCGGCCGGGCCCCGGAACGCGCCGACGACCGGCTCGCGTGCGTCCGCGCCCACGCCTCCGTCGACGTGACTGAGTGGCGTGCGTTGCGTCCCCGCAACCGTTACATGGGCCGTGAGTTACGCCCGCGTCGGAAGTCCGGGCGCCGGAGCTGCTGAGTGGCGCGTGTCGCCCGCGCGCTGAGTTACACGCGTGGTGAATTATGCGCGGCGTCGATCACGTGTGCCATGAGTTACGTGCGGCGCGAGTTGTTTCGTGGTGTGCGACATGTTACGTGCGCCGGACGTTGCCGCCGTTTACTTGTGCTGTGAGTTACGAATGCCGTGAGCGGTCGTGCGCAACATGTGTTGTGTTGTAGGCAACAACGTGTCGCCGGCCCCTCCGACCGCGGGTTGAGTGAGCGGTCTCCAGGGTCGACGCCCCCTGAAGAGAGCGTCACCGCGTGGAGCCAGCGCCATCCCCGGCACCTGCCTGTCGCGCCCCCCCCCCCCCCCCCCCCCCCCGTCCCCCATCATGCCTCCGGCTGTCGCCACGCCGTCGCTGGCCGCCGCGATGCCAGCCCAAGCGGTATGCACTCCGGCAGCCCGTGAAAGGTCACACGGCGCCGGGAGGCGGGGGTCGGCCGGGCGGCGGCCACCAGCTGCTGGCCGACTGCCAGCGCGGCCCGGGTGGGTCGGACGGGGCCGGGCCCGGTCCGGCCCCGCCCGGCGCCGGCCGCCGTAACGGTCCCGCTCAGCCGGGCCGCCCGGCCGCCCGACCGCCGCGCACAAAGAGATCGCTCCCTGGGCCCGGCTCGGCCACGGACCGGGCGCTCGGCCGAGCGCACCGGCGGCCGGCGGCCGGTGGCGCGGGGCGCTGGGGCGGCTCGAACGCCGGCGCACATCTCTCGGCCGGTCGGCCGGCTGGATAGACCCACCGGCGAGAGAGCCAGCACACCACATCCGGTCCGGCGTGAATCCACCTCTCATCGCCACACCGACGTCCGACGTCCGTCGGCGGCGTCGCGTGACGTCGGCCGAGCCACGTCGCGTGCTTCAGCACGGGACGTCCATCCGTCCATCGTGACGCGATGCGCTGGACACGCATGAGCAGCGCACGCGGCCCCACACTTAACCAAACGCCCAAGCCCAGTTCGATACTTACTTGTGACAATGCTTGAGCCACGGTGATCAGTAAGTGAAATGAACGACGCCGACACAACCGCAGCCTCAAAGCGGTCTCATCAGTCCGGACGCGGTGCGCCGCGCTCCGATCGCGCCATAATAGCCCACTTCCCTGGCCGGGCCCTAATCGGCGCGACCACTCCGGCGTCAGCTGTCGGCCGGCCCGTGACGGCACGGGCAGGGGGCGGCGTGACGTCACTCACCAGGCGCTGCACGTTGGTGAGCAGGCCGTGACGCGCGATGTCCTTGACCTTGGCCGGGTCCGTCTTAAAGGTTTCCACCAGCCGGCTGAAGGCCAGGCACACGCTCTCCACAGTCTTCTTGTCCTGAAACCACGCCGGCGCACGCTGACACCGGAGCGCGCGGAGGCGGCCCACACGTCGCGCCGGCCGACCGGCAGGCGTTCCCACACGTCCATACACACACAGCCCGTCGCGCCCTAACAGAACGTACCGCGCGCGCCGCCAGCCTTATTTTTACTCAAAATAACACAACATTTCAACGCAGCTGTAATTAAGGCAGCGTCTGCCGCACAACAACGGGGACAATGAGGCAACACGCGCGGGTGGCGGCGAGTGGGGCGCCATTTCGTGGCGAGCGCGCCGCCCGGCCGACGGCGGCGGTCTCGGCGGCCATACCTGGTGTGTCAGCCTCTCGGCCAGATTGTGCAGGTTATCGCTGACCAGATGGAACTCGTCCTGCGTCAGCGACAGGCAGCAGTTTGCTGTAATAGGCGAGCGCCGCGCGCTGCGCCGGCAGCGAGAAGAAGTCCACGTACATCAGGCACGAGGAGATGCCGCCCTGCCGGCGTGACGCGCGACCGGGTCACACCTCTCCCCCGGAGCACAGAGGTGGATTAGCGGGGAGCGCAGCCCATACGGTGATCACCCGCTCGGACACAGTGCACACCAGTGGTGACTGGCAGCGGCCTGTTCCCAGAAAACACGACCACACGACCAGGAAGCCGTGGAAAACACCGTACTTTCTCAGGCTGGCAGGACACCCCGGGAGACGACAACCCGCCTGGGGGCTCACATGAGCCACGGGACTGTTCCGCTCCTTCCCAGGGCACCGCGGCGTGGTGACAGCAGAGCGGCGGCAAACAAACGCACGGGTCCGATGTGCTGACGAGCTCGCCGGAGTGGCCGCCTCCGCGGCGAGACTCAGTACACCAACCACGGCACGGCCGTCGTAGCAGGCTCGCCAGCCACCAGGTCCACTCAGTACGCCGCCCACCGCGGCTGCCGCAACGCCCCACTCCAGGCGAAGTCTCGCGAGATCAATACGGGGCAACGTTCTTACGTAAGGATCACACCTCGGCAAGACCGCTGCCAATGCAAATGCCGCACGGCGGGTGGAACAACCACTCTGTCTCGACGGCGGGGGAGGGCGCCGGTGGGCGGCTCGTCCGCGCCGGCCGCAGACGGCGTGTCGACACCGCCGGTGCGCTCAGGGCGCCGCGCGAGCCATCGCGCAGTACAGCTCGAGCGCATCATACAATCGGGAGCGGTAGGAGCGAGCGCACGTGGGCACGGACACGGCCCGGTGAAGAGGCGTGACTTGGAGGAAACGGAGCAGGGAACTGCACGGTCCATTGGAAATGAAAGCGTTTGTTTGGGTGCTGAACACGATTCACTGATAAGGACACAATCGACAGGTTGCAGGAATTGGGTCGAACAAAAGATCTCGCCAGTCTGTGCTTTCAGAAACAGAGAGGAAATAGTGATCTCAAAAGGAGCTTTCAACACTGAGCAGCCGAGCACTTGAGCACCGCAATAACTGAACGAAACAACGGACAACTGGTATATGTGTCACAGTGTCTCGGTAAACTGCACTGTACTGGCTAGTGGCTTATCCATAAATACTGCGTCTCGAAGCTGATGCAACTATCGCGTGTCGGTCTCATAGGTCCCATTGTTGAATAGAGCATTGCCCAAATGCTGCAGCGTAAAAGGCAAACGGCTGACAAAAAGGACGTGCGACGCGAAAGCCCGTGATTTTCGGCAGACAGAACTCTTCAAATGAAAAAAGCAAGCAATGATACGCGTCACGGTCGTTACCAAACCTTCATGGTTATTCACTATCAAGCAGCCGACACGACCAAAATGTGTCTGGCCCTCTCATGGCAGAGTGGTGCGGTTCGTGCCCGGCAGTCCAAGAGCCGCGCGGGCGGCCCTTGGACTCTGTGGCGGACGGCAGCTCTGTGGCCTCCGTCACACCCTGGCAGACACCCCATCAGCACACGTAATGGACCGCCAGGCGGGGGCGCAGATTCGACGTCAGGCGACGGCTGGGCACGGCGCCCTCGTGACGTCTGCACCGGCACACAAGGCGACCGCCTCCGAGACGGGACGCGTCCGCATAGTCACCGTGATGACAATCCCGCCAGTTTGTGTCGCTTTGCAGCTTTAGTTGTCGCCTCGTCAACAGATTACTGTGTGTGTGTTGAGGAGGGGGGGGGGGGGGGGGCAACCACGGCCCACACGGCATCAGCGGCCACGGGGTGACGCGGAGAGAGAAGATATGATGGTCTGCGTGACCAAAATAGTCAGTGTCCCAATCTATGCTATGCGCCTACTGACATCTGAGCTAAATAGGAAACAAGGGCATCGAAATACCTTAACCACGTCGCGGGTCTGCCACATTCAACCAGCCCACCGCCATCCCAGCGGCACCGGCACCAGGTGTACAGGACGGGTCCCACCGGACTCTTAGCCGACCTCCCAGCCTCCCAGGATACACCAGCGAACCCCTCAGACTTCCACGATACCTCAGCTGACCCCTCAGCCTCCCACGATACCCCAGCTGACCCCTCAGCCTCACATGATATCCCAGCTGACCCCTCAGCCTCCCACGACACCCCATCTGACCCCTCAGCCTCCCACGATACCCCAGCTGACCCCTCAGCCTCCCATGATACCCCAGCTGACCCCTCAGCCCCCCCCCCCATGATATCCCAGCTGACCCCTCAGCCTCCCATGATGCCCCAGCTGACCCCTCAGCCTCACATGATACCCTAGCTGACCCCTCAGCCTCCCACGATACCCCATCTGACCCCTCAGCCTCCGACGGCGCCTCTCTCACCACTTGTAGCAGGTTCTTGCTGTGGCGGCGGCTGATGAGCTCAAGCGCCGTGAGACCCTGCTCGGCCACGTCCATGCACTGGATGACCTGCAGTTTCTGGAGCAGCACCGGCACTGCCTCCACCACCACGGCCGTGCTGCGCGGCAGCGCCTCCATCAGGTAGGTGAGCGCCCGGCACGCGTGGTTCATCTGGCGGACGAGCCACACGGGCTGGGTCAGCTCAGGTCGGGTCGGGTCAGATCAGCGGCACTCGGCAGCGGGTGCCATCACTGAGTGACTGCTGCGTCTACGACACAGAACAGCATGTCAGCGCTCGACGCGAGCTCTACAAGACCTCCCGCAGATCTGCGCTCGCCCAGTGCCCAAGGCCCCCGTACCGGCCCCACGCCGTGACGTGCCTCCTACAGACAACATTCATCTCGGAGCGGCCATCGGGCAGTGAGCAAGCGCTCCCCGGGCCGCACTCCGCTCGGCCGGCTGCAGGTACCGTCGGGCTGTGCCGGTCCGGACCGGTCCAGCGCGGCCCCCGTCACCGGGGCGGCGGCTGACACGACCTCTGACCCCGGCAGCCGTGGCCCTCACGGCCGGCCGGCGGCGGCGCGCCCGCTCCCACGCCGGCCGTCAGCCGGGTCAGCTGAGCGGCGGCGCGAGGCGGCGCGAGGCGGTACAGCGCAGCGCCGCACACTTTGGGAAGTGCGGTGCACCACAGCATACTGCAGACGGCGCAGCACAAAGGAAACAGCACAGCGCGGCGCAGTATGGCACAGCGCAAGGCACCACGCCAAAGAGAGAGCGGGACAGCGACACGCGGCACGGCGTTGAGGCAAAACATCCGAAGAATGCCAAAGCGCCGCAGAGCACCCTGCGAACACCAGAGCACACTACGAACAGCAGCAAAAGCAGCACAGCGCGCCACGGCCGACACAGCGCAGCGGACAGAGCGGGGACCACTCACAATGTCGAAGTTGTGCTCCATCTGGAGCAGTGCGATGAGCGGCGGCACCACCTGCTTGATGGGAAACCCAGCCAGCGTCTCCTCGTTGCCCATGACCAGCAGCTGGCCCATCTCGATGACGGCCTGCAGCTGCTGGGTCTCGTCCCCGGTGGCCTGCAGGCCCTGCACCAACTGCTGGATCTTTGAACCTGCCGCGTGCGCGCGCGCGTGGGCGGACGTCAGGGACGGGCGGCGGCGGACGCTGCGCAGTTGAGGGCGCACAGGGACCGCGGCAGAGCCAGTACCATAGTTTCACGGTCGGTGCTGGGCGGATCGCCTCGGCCGTTCAGGTGACTGATATCGCAGTTGCACGGGGTAAACGAGTCGGTCATTGCGAAACACAACTTGCACAGGGCCGCTGTCAGCAAGGTCAATTTGCTCTCTTGTGTATGCAGCTACAGAGGAACTCCAAGCACAGGGCGCGGCGAGTTTACACGGCCTCATTGGACGGGAGGTCGCGGCTCAGTACAATCTCGCAGGGGCCCGCACCAAGACACCACCACACCACCACATCGGCTTCACCACCCGTCTGTTACGTACTGCTGCCCATGCTCCTGTGTAGCATCTGCTGCATCCGAGGCCCCAGCGCGCCCAGCAGGTGGGGCGGGATGCCGCGCGCCTCAAGCAGCGCCTGCAGCCGGCCCATGTCGCCGTCCTCCTCTGCGGCGGCGGCGCCAGCCGCGCCGCCTCCTAGCAGCGCCGCGGCGCCGGCGAACCCGGCGGCGGCCGCGCCGGCGCGCTCGGCAGCGGCGCCGCCGGCAGGGCCAGCCGGGCCGGCGGCGGCCGCGGCGCCGGCGCCGCTGCCACCGGCCGCCTCCTCGGCCGGCGCACCCTCCGACGACATGCTGCCGCCCAGCGCCACCTTCCCGCCGGCCCGCGAGCCACGCCGACCGCTGCGAACACCGGCAGACGGGGTCAGCGCGGACAACAGTGACAGGTCACGACAAACTGGCCACGTAGCTGGACACTTAGAGGTCGCGGGACAACACAGCGAGGGATGGCGGGAGGAGACATACGACGCGGCACCCGAGAACCCTCTCCCCGCAGACGAGCACACGCAAAGGGGATGGCACACATCTGAAGCCGCACGTGCGCTCTATCTGCCTGTGACCATCAAATGAGATCACACGCAGCGGTCGTAGCGTCCTCCGCGGCCCAGCGCACCTCCGGCCCCGGGCCGCCGGGCAGTGTCTGTCCAGTGCCCGGCCGCTACTGCAGCGTCAGGGCCAGGCGCCCCGTTGCCGGGCGGACGGCGGGCTACCATTCGTCCGGGTGCCGCTCGCCGCCGGCCGACCGCCAGCGGTTCACGGGTCCACCGCCGTCAACGACCGCGGCGCGCCCGCTGTTGTGGCGGGCCCGGCGGCGGGCGCGCTGTTTGTGCCGGCCGGCGACACCCGACGCGGCCGCTGACCGCGCGCGCGCGCGCGCACCGCGCCGGCCGCTGCCAGCGGCCTGGCGCGCCGCTCCCGGCGCGGCCCTGCCGACGCTCTCACGGCAGGGCGGCGGGTTCGCCGGCCGCTGACGCTCCCTCAACCCTACCCGCCGCGTGCGAAGCGCAGATCCCGGCGCAGCTCGTGCGGAACGCCGGTGATTGGTGCGCGGCTCACCCGAGGTCGACCATGCACCGGCAAATGGCAAGCGTCGTTAAGCGTTAGATTGGGTCGGCTATTCTCAGCGCTGCGCGACTGCCGTGGCGCTATCCCAGGAGTGGATTATATTGAGGACCCGGCACTCCTGCGTAGTTGGCTCTGCGCTTGCTCCAATGTGCTCCGGTCGTGCAGAGTGCCGGCGGCGAAGCTGAGCAGCGATAACGAAGTTCCTGTCCAGAAGACACTATCGAGCAGCCTTCAGCAGCGACATCAAGCGACTTACATGGAGCCACGAAAGTTCACAGCAATTTCCGTGCATGCACCGCGAGTCACGAGAACTGCACGTCATGCCTGCTATTTCTGCTAACGGGAGGACTAGGGCTTTCCCAGCACGTGGGCGCGCCGACACGTTATCGCCATCTCCATAGCTGTTGAGTTAAACAGACTGTAGCCGTGTACAGTGTACACCAGTGAGGCACTGCGGCGGCGCGGCCGGATCGCGGCGGACGAAAGCCGGCCAGCGTTTCTCTCACGCAAGACCTGCCGTCCGCGCCGCGTTACGGCACGCAGAGCGGCGGAGCGTGCCGCGAACGACATTTTCTCCGCGCCTCCCCGGTTAATTTCTCCCCAGCCAACCGGCCAGAGACGCGGCGCCGCGGCCGGGGGCCGAGCCGGCCCGCGCTTCCCACGGACCGCCGCCGGGAGCCCAGCTGGGCGAGTTCCGCCGGGCCGACCTCTCGGCACCAGTCGCACCGGTCCGGCCGCGGCCGTCAGCTGTCGACGGCCACGTGCCGACTGGCAGGTAGCTCCAGCGATGTGGCGATAGCGACGGACGGACGGGCGGACGGGCGGGGCGCCGCCGCACCGCTCGTGCTGGACACGTCGACAGGGTGGCACTACCGGCGACATTTTCTGAGACGGGTGCGGTGCCGACCGGTGGCACTCGGTCGGCAGGACGCAGCGCGTGACGCAAGCTTAGGATCGCTGACTCAACGTCAACGCGGCGCGGAAAACGGTCCGGTGCAGTCGCTGCAGCAACCGCTGGAGCGCAGGCGAGGCAGGACAGTGCGGAGTTCAGGCGGGGAACTCAACGTCCGCCTGGTTCGATAAAGGGTGATAAAATATAGGATGGGACATGCAGGACATATCAGTCTCAATACAGGACATATGGGAGAAATATGGATATAAAAGGTTTCAACGGAGCGTGACATGACAAAGCGAATTTAATTCTTACGGCATAACAGTAGACAAATGAGACCGCTTCTCGTTCCCACGGATTCGTACAATTGGTTCCATGTTCCCACCGATTTGTACAAACAAACCCAAGAATGTGACAAAAGGAGCGGGCCTGCAACTGCAGCAAACGCCCAGGAAAATCTCCTGGGAGATTAACAATGTGCCCAGAACAAGGAAATTTCTAGTTTTTCACCAGCAATCGTACGTGCAAAGCAGACTAATGACGCTTGCCAACGCTAGACAAACTATCAAACCCCCACCACATACAGCCACAGAATGTCTTTCGTCGGCGGCATGGAAGGCGCCATGTTCTGGGTCCGTTCGCTATCAAGATATGTTCAAACCCATTCGACAGACGCGTCAACAGGTCCGCCGACCACACCGACACGCAGTACCAAACCCAAGAAGAGGCAAACACCCTACCCGGTCATTGGCGAGGGGCGAGCGCCTGCTGGGATGGGAGAGGGTGCGAGCCGACGCCGATAGCGCCCCGTCTGACCCATGAAAAACAGGACACCGTCAAAACAACACGACCGCCGCCGGCCGGCTATTTCGGGGCCGGGCCGCCGCGGCCGCGCTGGCCGCGATTTATGACCGACCGGTGGGCCGCCACGCCACGGCACCAAACAGTCGTCCGGCTCGGAGAGGGGAGAGCGGAGGAGGGAGAGAGGCCGAGAGAGAGAGAGAGGCGGAGAACGAGACGCCCCGGCGGAACCAGCGATGACCACGTCGGGACAAAGGCGGCCGGGCGCCGCCGCCGCCTCGCCCAGGGCCGGAAGCGATGGCGACAGTTACCACCCCACCTGCCGGGGGCATGCGCCACGTGCCGCGGGCGGTGGAGGGCACAGTCACAGGCGGTCCAGTCCGCGACGCGGCGCGCGGCTCCTCCGCCGCCACCGTCGGCGGCGCAGGTGCCCGCGACCTTGAGCCAGCACCTCGCTGATCAGCTGATCGCGGCTGGACGGACCGGGCGCCGCAGCGAGGACGCCGGCGAGGCGCGCCACCGCGCCGACTGCATGCCGCCTTGGGCAGGCCGACAGCTACTGCCTTTTCCCAGTTCAATTTGCCAGTTCCAGGATGTGACGAGCGGCGCGCAGACGGATACTCGGATCAATAAATACCCGGCCGGCCGGCACAAAGACCGAGCGGCGGCCCGACGCGGCGCGGTGTCGGCGCGGCGGCCGGCCAGCTGGCGGCGGCCCGGCCAGGTGCGCAGCAGCGCCAGCTGCCGGCCAGCGCCGCGCCGCGCCGCGCCGCGCCGCACTCGTGCCCGCGCCGCGCTCGGCAGCCGTTCGACGACCGGGCGTGACCCCGATCCCGCGAGCGGTGTAGCGGCACCGGGCGCCGTCGCCGCCCGCCTCCGCTCGTCTTGGTGGCACGCGGCCGAACGCGTGCCGCCTCCGCCTCCCTGCGGCCGCGCACTCAGTAGATCAATACGCCGAGCATTGCAGGCAGCCGAGAGGTGCCGTCCCGTCCGCCTCGGTCTTCGCCTCAGTCTGAGCCCGAGTTTCAATCTGAGTTTGGGCCTGTCTCACTCTGAGTTTGAGTCCGGGTCTGCGTCTGGGTCTGAGCCTGGGCCTAGGCCGGAGTACGGGTCTCGTTCCAAGCACGTTCAGGCCAGGGCGCGCCGCGCCGATCGGCACCGGTAGTTAGCGGCGCGGCGGCGCGCCGCGGGGCCTCGTTAGGCCCAATCTGGCGCCGGACGCGGGCGGTTACCGGCGACAACGCGGCCGGACCGCGCCGCCGCTGCCCCATCCGCGCGGCCGCTGCCCCATCCGCGCCGCCGCCGCCGGATCCGCCGCCGGCCCGGCCGGACGCGAAAACACGGGGCGAAAACAGGCGGGCGGCGGACGGACGCGGCAGCGATCACGCGATTTAAATAGCCGCGTGGACGCCGGCGCCAGCATTCTTGGCACATTGGCTGCATTGACGTCCGCACGGGGGCCAGCCTGTGGATCAAAGCGGCCCGGCATACTGATGGCTCTCAGGCCAGACTGGTCGGATTTGAGTCACGCAAAGGTAGTCAACGGACCATGTGATGATGGATGGAACGAAAAAGGAGCTTGATTTGTGATCTAATAAAACTAGAACTTCCTCAATTTATAAAGAGCGTCCCGATAGGACGGTGCTGTTAGCTTAATTCCTCGCAGAACAGCCAAGAGAAAAATCGAGTGGGATCGGTTCGGCAGGTAAATATGAATTTAATACTAGTAATCGTTTCGATAAAGGCATGCAGCTGAAGTAGCAAAACATTTATCTCTCTTCTCCTGGTTATTCTACGACGAATAACGCCAACAGTACTGTCTCATCCATATGCGCAACGCTCCTCGTAAATGCACTAATAACTTACGTACGAACGTCTCGATATCAACTGTTGCGGGGCGTGCCCTTCCGAGAAGCCGGCAACAAACGAGAGAACAGGATCGAGTACGTGCCAAACGTGGACTTTGGCGGAGCCGGATCATCCTAACGAGCTCGTGCGAACGAGCTGACCGAGTCCTCCAGGGTTGCAGTGGCTACGGCCAGCCTTCGCGGGCCGGCCACCACGTCTTCAGCGTTGGATTTAACTCCGCGTTAGGTCAATGCAACGAGTGCAGCTGGTTCCAACGTCTCCTGCCCACAGAACACCGCGGCAGGCGGACCTTCGCTGACGTCACCGCGGCTGTCGCAGCGACATGACATACCGCGGCACTTAGCACAGCGTCGGACTAAGCAGCAAAATACACACACTGGGATGGTCCGGACCGTCGCCCGCAGCGACACTCACAGGCCCCGTGAAACGGCTACAGCTCTCCCGACGCAACGGCAGCGTGATGATACGCCCATGCATTATGCATTTCACTCGCTCAACCCGGCACGAACATGTGATGTCGACCATCACTGAAACAGCGGCTATGTCACGCCACGATGCGGCTAATCCATCGCCGCACAGTTCCGAAGCGGGTTGTGTGACTCGCGCCAACGCGCGACGACCACTAGAGAAGAGGCCTCGGCTCCTGCCGCGGGCCACTCAAGCCATCCCCTCCCAGCAACCACTCAAGAAGACTGAGCTCCTCCCGCAGGCAAAT